TCTAGCACGGAAAAATAAGAAAAATACTCTCTCCTCGCGTATCGCTTTGTCTCGTTTAGCCATTGATCTACGAGTCAATTGGGATTCAGGCAAAACGTGCAAGCGGTTACTGGGCAGAACGTCATCGGGCATAAGGCTGCCAGGTACACCACCTCGCCAAGGTCTAGACTTGGGGGGGGGGGGATCGTCACACGTTCCCCTCCCCCTCTCCATTATTTTTCGTCTTCTTCTACTACTCTTTCTCCTCTTCCTCGCTCCTTCGTCTTCCACGAGGTCTTCTTACTCGTTCGCTACGCTCCTCTGACCCTGCTCCCCATACCCTTCTCCCTATGGCGACTCGTACGTTGCACCGGCAGTCCGGCACTGCACGTAGGTATCGTGGTTTACATAAGGCGAGCTGGAGACTGAGGGAAAAATATAGGGTGCCCTAAATAAATTCAGTCACGTCAGAACAATCGTGTGTTCGTGCATAATCGTGTATACGTACTTTCGTTTTGTTTAAACGACGCTCCTCGTCGTTACGGAAGAGGAAAATTTATGAAGCCTCTTGGAAAATGAAAAACAAAGAACGGAAGTGGATCGAAGAATACGCGTGCGATGATCTCTCTGGTAACGATAAACTCGTCTTTCGTCCTTGAACACAAATTACGGTGATCCATTCCATTAACGAGATTTCTGGTAGTCCTGGTAAGGTCAGGATCACGGCAGAATTTGAAGCTAGCAAAAAATTTTATAGCCATACCACGTTTTAACGACACGAGACTTTTGTGTTCTCGCCAGGCTCCATTTCTTAACGGCGAGTCGTTGCCCCCCTTTTACCTTACCCTCTATCTCTTTCTACGGAGCTTGACCATTTTTTAGAAAAGAAATTCCCCTGTCTCTTTTCTGCTCTGGAGTCCCTGTGCACGGATTTTGTGCCATTAAGAGAGGTTTAACCGTGTAGCAACCTCGCTGAGGCGATCGATCAAAGGAAACAAAGGCTTGCCAACGCTAATGAAATTTACGCCGAATATCAACTACCGCCGTGAAGTAAACGTCGACGTAAGCCATCGTGCGCTCGTTTGTTAAAAATTCCATCAACGTCAGTCATTGGTCGGCTTTATGGAATTGGAGCCACCATTGCTATAATCGAGAAATTCAGAGATTTGAACGTCGGCATGGGAAAGACCGGGAATGGTGGTTCGATCTCTGGCGAGTCTCTTCGTGAAGGATGCGCCGATGCACGCCGCGGATCAGCTGAGCAGAATTCGAAACGGCCGTGAAGGCAGAGTGAGTTCGACGCCATGAACAGGTTGTCCGAGATATAGGATCGAGACACCCCGTAGATGTGACCGGACGAGTGGGAGGCAGAGTGGAGGAGATGGAGTGACGGTGACGGCGACGAGGAATGGAGGAGAAGTGGATGAGACATAGGGCGCGGGGGGTGTGGTGGACGGGACAGGGGCTAGGGGCAGTAAGGTGCAGAGCGCACTCAGGACCGAGAGTGGGGGTAGACCACTCGGCGGAGTCGGGTGGTCGGCGGGAGGGGCTACCGGTTGGCTGGAATGGGATAAAGCTGGGTAAAGCCAAGCCAACAAACTCACGATCAGTCCCAAGCCGGAACGACGCCTGGCTTCTACACGAGTAGTTGTTATGTCTAACTTCTTATTTTGCATTTGTTCTCTGTTACAAGACGGAGCTCGTAGGTAAACGGGATAATCGTAAGGTCAGAGTTAGGAACGAGGATTTCTTTTTTTTTTTCTTTTTTTTTTTTTGATAAATACGTCAACGTCTTCCACCGGTCGAAGAAGTTGAAGAAGTCGCGCGAGGAATCGTGGTTGGACGTGACCGATGGTCGGTTGACGCGAGTGCAATTTCTCAGTGGTGCAAGGAAATAAACGTCTACTGGTGATATTGCAGGGGAAGCGCTACGCAGACGGTCGATCGTCCTTAGCGGCTTTCCTAAAAGCTATGAAGAGGCAATTAAGCCGGTTAACGGAGCCGGGAATACCTGGTTGCCGCTGGCCTAAAACCGGTACGTGCGTTCCTCTTGCGGTATAGGTGTGTGCACGCGCGTATCTATATACCGCATTATACGCGAATGTTTTCTGTGTAATTATATATGCTCGGTGAATGTGTATTTACGTGGAATATGAATGTGTATGTGTGTAGGTGTTGATGTGTACACACCTGTGCATAAGTGTACGGAATCGAATACCTCTTAGGGAAGCAGCCATCGCTGGAATTATTTCGACTGGAAATCTTTGCCGGAAATCGAAAAAGATGCGTCGCGTGCCGATGTCAAGGAAGTGATCCGAGATCGGACGGAGATTGGTCGATGGAGTGTGATCGATAGGACGATCAAACAACACCCGCAAAGAAGGACAAGTTTGTCCGCGGAAGAGATAAACGAGGAAAAAAGAAATAAAGGAGAGAATACGGTAGAGAAGGCTACAGGGAGAGAAAGGGAAGAGGGTGAATAAGAGTGGGAGAGAGAGATTGGGGAAATGGGCACGAAAAATCTGAGAAAAACAAGTCGGGGTGCTTGAGACTCTTTTTGCCGTGTCTCTGTCGCTGTTCCAAGCTGCAGGTGTTCATGAGACTTTGCCGAGATAGCGAGCAAGAAGCCACGCCATGAGGATCCTCAAAACGCTACACTGGTAGGTTCGCCTGCAGTATTTACTGTCGAAAAGTTTCCACGGGGCTTTTCGCCCTTTTTCCAACGACCTCTGGCTCTTGTCCTGAACTCAGGTATTTGGTTCGAGGAATTCCTCGAACCTTCGCTTGTCAGGAAAGTACATAAAGGCGATTGGTCATGAACGAACTCGACGACAAATTTCACTTAAATTTTTTTAGCGAGATTCTCAAAAGAACATCGCACGCCGAGCGACCGCCTAAGGTTCGACGACTCAAGAGGCGCAATGCGATTAGGTCTGTTTACAATAACCCAGACAGAACTTGGGGGTACTCCGAACGAATTGGCAGATAAACTACCACTGTAGAAGGTAAAATCTGTCAGTGCAGTCTGTCGGTGTGACTTTTATACGAGCTTCGAGTCTCCGTAATGATTTTCCTCGGAGTACCCCACAGAGTTCAGTCTACGTAGACATTCCTCTGAAGTAGCTCGGATTAAAAGTTGACCGGTGGCTAGCCTAGATATCGTAGTCTAGTTTTACGTTAAGCAGACACAGTCAGAAGTCAGGCTCTCACCCTACTGATCCACGTAGAAACCAGTATTACCTTATCGCCTTACCTTCCACGTAGAACCTGGAGCTCCAGGACTAGCAGCTAGAATCGGACTACCTATAGCTGTATAGGGAGTATGGTATACGCCCTGGTAGGAACAATAGATTCGGAGAATTTGAGCGGTGAGGCAATATATTCTCATCGTTGACTTCGCTTCGAATACAGGTTCCAGTGTGGTGGCACCCTTGGCAAACGTCACGCGGCTTCTGCGATTAATCGTTTCTCAGAAACGAGCTACGAAAATTGCGATTGCAACACTGCTCCGTCTATTTGGTTTCTTTCTCACGTATCGCATTGCTTTGTTCTCCGTTTCATTATCTCTCACCGGGAACTCACCCCAGATCCTCATTCGCGCTGGTGAGAATCCTCTTCGTTCCTTGCGTTCATCGGTGAATGATATTATCAGATTTACGGAGATACCACGAGGATCGTAGGAAATAGGTACCGATTATGAGAACCGCTACGCATGGCCATGCGGTGCCAAACATGGCTGTTCAGGAACACGAAGGTATTTCCTATTGCCTTTGTCTCCCGGACTCCATTGTCTCTTTATTCGCTCTCCTGCTACGTATATATGTATACACGCGTAGGTATGGTTGCACGTGTATAAATGTGATAATCGTTTTCTAAAAAAAATTCCATATAACCACCCTCTGGACTACCGAGCTGCGTCAACGAGACGTTATCCAACTTGTATAATTCAAAAAAAAATAGAGTTTGCATTTTTTATCGTTTGAAAAGATACTAACTACTCCTGAATTTTCACTAAACGTTATTGCGCTCTTGGTTACTGGTAACGAAGTATTGTATTAGGAATGCCTGAACACACCCGTGCCACGTGTGCATATTCGTGACGCACATAGCAAAGAATCCATTAAGAAAGTTTCTTCCTCAACTTGAAAATTCGTAATAATAATCGTCGAGGTGCGGAATGCAGTCGGAAAACTGTTTTGAATTGAAGCGATTGTGGTAAAAATGTGGAAACGTAACATAGCAACGGACGACAAATAGAGCTTTACGTAACGTGTAGATATACACGTACGACACGGGAAGTGGCTTTCACGTTCGTATAATTTAGCAATGCAGAATCGATGCACCGTGCATCGGATGCGTTCTTTCAGTAGTCAAGGTGCACGAATTAGTCGAGCTTTTTACTTATTTATGCGGTTGAACACATGGTTGGAAATACTGCAATCAAAAGTCGAATCGATAAAGCAAACGTGGCCTCTATTCCCAATTTTGTTTGCTATAGAAATTTCGGATGCGCTTAGAGCGTTCTCGACGCATATCAGTTTCATCGAGGAAGTAGATTGTTTGATATAGGTGCGTGCCCACTTGAGTTATTTGACAATGGACGCCCACGAGAGCGTAATTAAAAGCATTATTCACGCCCTACAGAATAACTAACACTCTTGACCCTTTACATTCTATTCCGATAGGGGAGTACTAGTATGAATGTGGTTACGTAACTTGTATTGTGGCTAAATAACCGACGAGGCAAGCTGGCAGGATTTGGTATCGCTCTATCGGGAATTCTTGAAGAATAGGCAATATCGAGAGACAAAAAAGCTTTTTTAAGAAGAATGAAACCTCCGTTCAAAATAGAATTCTATGGACGCCTTGACCAGCTTTCGCCACCTTTGCCACCTTTGCCACCTTTGCCACCTTCGCCATTTTTATTGTCCTCACTCTTATTAATATTTTTAAGTAATTTTGTTCTCATCGAATCCTTTAGAAGCGACTTTCGTTAATCGTGTTGCTATCGATGCTTGCAGGTCTAGAAGGCGTAGCGCAAGTGGCGTACCGGATATTCACCTGCAGCAGGGCCAGCTTCAAGAGAACAACAACAGCTCGCGGGAGACGAAGGAGTCGAAGGAAGGATTGGGGCCCGATGAAATGTGGGCCCCAGGGGCCCTAGGTCATCACCGGGAACTTCCCGTTGACGTACCCGACACCCTCCTTCAGCAGGCGTACCCCAACAAGGTAAAGAATTACTCACCCGGCTACCGGAGTGATCGTCGTTCCCGTAGTGCTAGCGATCTTGATCTGTCCCTAAATCTTAAAAACAAACGATCATCCGGCGAGAACGCGAAAGTCGGTGGTGAGAGTGCTACGTTAGTGCGCGTTGAAGATCCTGCCAAGATTGAGCTGAAGATTGAAAACTCGCACTTCGCGAAGGACAAGAAGGAGACTGAGACTGAGGTTGAGACTGACGAAGGAAAACACAAAGAGACTGAGGACACAGTCGACAGAGTGGAAAAGGTGGAGAAAGTGGAGAAGGTGGACGTTGCGAAGGTCACGAAATTACCGAATCTAAAGGACATCGCAAAACGTGCAGCCGTCGACGAGGAAATCGCGGGACAAAAGGAATCGAGTGTCGATGCCGAGGAAGACTATCCTTTCGCAAAGGAGGACTATCCGACGATGCTGAAGACTTGCAGCGACGACTCGGCAAGTCCCAGAAGTTCATCAGGTAGATCGGATAGTACCGCACCTTTGGATACCAGTTTGATTCTTCGTCACAGATCGACGGGCAAAAATTCACCCCTCTACGACGCACGAAGGATCGATCTTGGATCACCATGCCGATCGATCGTTCCTGAGATCAAAATTGCGCCATTGTTCTCTCGTGCCAGAGACTCCACGTCCTTCGACAATCCGGCTTACGGACTGGCTGATCTTCAGGATCTCCAGGGTCTACTTATGAGATCGGACGAGGTCTCCGATTTAACTTGTTTGATAGACGAGCAAGGACTGATATCAGGAAAGTCTCGTGAGCAGAGCCAAATGTCGTCGACGTGGTCCAAGGATCGCGTCCCTGTAGAGGGGATCAAGACGACGAAAAAGGGTTTGAAACGTCCGGATGAACAGAGCAGAACCAGAGGCCGAAGAGATCTCGATGCTACGAAACTCATAAAATGTTCCACCGAAGACCTCATCCAGGTCGAGCTTGCCAATATCTCCTCGAAGAACAGAGTAAAGAAGAAGAAGCAGTCGAGTAGCGGATACTCGACCTTAAAGAGCGAAGCCTCCACCGACCTCGATCAAGATTCCGCTTTCCTCGTCGACGCTAATCGAGTCTACCGAGAAGTCGCTGTCGACTGTCCTGCGGATTTTGTTCCTGTGACTAAGTGCCACCCGGTATATCCACCACCGAACAAGACTCCCGGCAACAGCAAGCACAACACTCTCGAGAGCAGCACCGCGAGATCAAAAACCATCCCCGCAAAATTTAATCCCAAGGACGTAAACTCTAACGGGGAGGATAGAGGGACCCTCGCGTCTTCCCATAACGAGATTAAAAATATTGAGCCGACGAACAACAATCGATCTAGCCTACTGCTAGCCGATAATGCTAGAGAGACCGTAGTAGCGCGAACCGTAGATCAAAGGGGCGAAAAGGTAAGGTCCAAAGTCAAGAGTCTGCTTTTTGACAGCTTCCCTTTCAAGCACAGTAAAAAGCCTGCCGCTTATAGCACGACTCCTTGCTCTTCCTCTAATAACCGCTCTTCTAATGATGATCTTACTCGCACTCGAGACCTTCTCTCCGAGCCCACGACTCTCAAAATTGCAAATATGACCTCCTCCTCCTCAGCCTCCTCTTCCTCGAAGAACTCGAACCTTTACGAACTCGCACCTACCCAAGTCGAGAGCGTCGCAACAGCCTCTCGCTGCTGCTCCAGGCAGAATTTACTCGCGACCTCACTCGAACCTGAGCAACCTTTATTCTATGACAATCCCTGCTTGGATGTCTCTAAGGGCGAAGGATCGGCACCAGGTTCCGCAGCAAGAGTCACATTTTTAAGCTTCCTCGGGGACGATGGCTGTAGTCGCAACGGTACTGGCGCTAATGGCGACTCGAAGACACCTTCAAAGTCGATAGCCAACCACCCAGAGTTTCCCTTGGAACTTTCCTTTACGCAGGAAACCAATCAGAACTCGCGGAATTCGTTTAGAGAACTCATATCGCGCAAAGGCATTCCCTTGATTGTCTATTATTCTCCGAAAGAGGAGAGAGCGCAGCTTCCACTTCCGCGACCGGACGAGTTGGACCACGACCGATTAGCGTCCGTGAAGATTCGCGGATCCCAGGAAGACTTCTGCCCCACTAAACAAAATCAAAAGAACTCGAGACTATCCCTCGAGTACAAGGGTTTTGAGTATTCGAAATTGTCGGATCATTCGCCACGAAGTGAGAGACTCTCCAGGGAGAACTTGAAGGCTAACGAAGCTCTCTCAAAGAGCGACCTAGACTTGTCCAGTGCCCTGGACGTATCCATTTTCAAGGTACACTCCTGGCTCTCCTATCCTCACCTCACATCGAGATCTCTTGCTTCGAGAGATCCCGATTCCTCGCCTAAGCCCGACACCACGTGCACACCAAATCACTCTAACAAACACGCAACAGCAATTTCACCACCACAACGACCACCATCAGACACACCGGAGAACTCTGTGTACGATTCGGTCCACCCTTACGAGGACATCGACGATATAGACAACCAACAGGTAAAACGCATAGAAAATGTATCGATTTTCCAACTCGGCACTCTCGGTGATTCGTCGAAAATTATCCTCTCGCATTCGACCTTCAATAATGCGAGTAATCCATTGAACGAGGAGTCGATGCGTATCTCGCGCTTCCGTACACAGTTGCGAATTTCGGAGCACGTGAAACGCGCGATCAGAAGGAATCGTTTTCGTGAAGCACCGTCCGAGCCGTCGATTAAAAGCATGGGGATCATCCTGAGGATATTTAATTGAGCATGGTAAGGTAGAACGATACGTACGAGGCTCTTTCAATTTCCTTCTTACTTTCCGCCTGTATTCCACTTGACCTTGTGTCAACAGTAGATAGGAAGGTGTCGTAGGAATATCGTTTATTTAGCGACATCGTCTACGAGGTAGATTGAAGCGGAGGGATGCGGAGGGACCATTAATACACGGGTAATTTGGATGAATTTTTAGACTGGTCTCAACGGGGTTAAGCCTGCCATTCCGCCTAGGGATCAGAAGAGGGCACCAGCCAGGCCTCCTAAGGACAATTTACGACTCTCCACCCAGAACAATAATGTCGAGCCCAGTGACAATGCCAACACAGAACCCACGCAGCAGCAGCTACACTCCATCAGAAAATACCAGGTACACAAAGGTTACTTCTGCGCAGATATAAAATCCTGAGGATTTCCTAAATCAATTCTTGGTATTTGGTACTCGGCGCCATGCGGTACAGTATAAACGCCATATTGATTATGCTAATCAGGGTATATCGAATAACAAAACTAGATAATTTTACTGCGAAACCAACAATCCCAAGTCAAAACTTTTTACTCGCGCTCATCCATGCACTGAACATTCTCTAGCGTGACGAGATTCTCAAGTTTGTCTGGATTCAATGTAAACACAAGAAAGAAAGTGTATCGCGCTCGTAAATGATATACTGGGTCAGTAAAATTGAAGAATGCCAGAACTCCAAGACACCCCATATACTAGACGAAGTGGTCCATATCGTGGGCATGTTTATCTTATAGAAACCCCATATCACTTACCTCAAGTTAAGTGTGGTCTGGAATTTAAAGAACCCCATAATAGTCTGAGATTACACGCCTCGAGTGTAACGTTACAAGCAGTCAATAGGTGTAGGCGTAGGGTGACTCAGCACCCTTGCTGCACACCCTCTTCCTTTCCATTCCCTTAAGAAAAACTTGCACCTTCGTTACACCCGCATCCTGCAATTCTTAAATACATAGGGCATATAGGTAATACCATAAAAGTTGAGAATATTTTCAATAAACTTTTAGAAATATTAGGGATACCGGAAATTCCATTGCCGATATTACCTTGTATTCAAATCCTAGGTCATTCCGCATATACATATACTCGGTATAACCAAATAACAGTGACGAGGAACTCGCATTTGAGAAACCCTACGTATACCGCAGGGGTAAACAAGGCTTCAGTAAGGTATTTTTACCCCGGATGGAAAGAAAGACGATCATTACGTAAATGCTGGTTTTTGTCGATGGCCGTGGCTAACGATGGCTGCTCATACTTTTATCTTTGCATATGGTTGATTCGTGATAAATTACGATACTTGATACGCATACGTTAGGGGCGTATATTGTGCTGAAACAGTATCATTAATGCAGAATGTAAATACATCTGCTGCACAGATAGATAAAAACGGAAGTAGATCGTCATCCGTATTCGCATCTCATAGGATTTACTTTAACGACAACCGTAACCGTATCACGTCGTTAATGCAACATGGCAAATTGTAATTTCTTCCGCATACGAGTCCGTCACGCTTGGCTAGACTGGATGTTTTTATGTCGCCTGTATAATCGTATCTCTCTGGACGAGCGTCATTCTTCGTGTGTTCGATAACGTATCGCAGCCGTACAAGAATTCTAGATACCCCTGGAACACGTGTTTTGCACTTACTACAAAAGCAATCGAGGATCCTGTAATCTAATGGAATTTGTGACTGTAACAGGAGCAGCTACGCAAACGAAAGGACGAGGAGGAGAAGCAGGAAGTTCTAAATCGTTCTCTTCGTGGCTCAAGAAAACTTCAGGCTTTGGAGAGCCACGCTACGAGTCTCTCCGGCCAAGAGAATCCTGCTTATGCTCAGGACGAGTTATCCACCGTAACTCGTTCTCATATCAGCACCAGTCATGCGACGCAAGAAGTGGAGGAGCCACCCAGACCTCTCAGTTAGATCCCTTACATTTAAATTCAAGCTTTTATTTTGCACGAGTATCATGCGCCTTATGTATGCCTTTTAAATTTCAGCGTACGGCGAGGTTGTCGCGACGCTAGAGAGGTTACAATTACAACTGCGTAATATATCTGGAGCTCTGGGAATTTCGGGTCCTGGCGTCGAAGCTGAACTGGAAGCGGTTCGGACGCTTTTGGTACAAAGGCGCTTTGCAACCGCTTTGGCAACTCATCATGCACTTAAGACACGCCTGAGATCTGTCAAACTCGCGAAGCACCATGCCGAAGACGCCTCGAACTTGGCTCGTGATGTGAGTTTGTCTGAACTAGGATGAGGGACGAAGATTACACCAATCTTGATATCTTCCTTAATAAACTGGTTCCTATCAGTTCGTATACCGTCATTTGGTCTTTCAGTGTATTGAAGTTTTGGAGCAATGGCAATCCTCCTCGACGTCAAATGCTGCTGGGGACACGATCGCCGCGGTCGAAGAACTCACAGGGTTACTCACTAGTTACGAGATGGAAGGTCTTCTTCTGGCTCACGATTCAATCGTCTCTTACGTTGAAGGCTTCCAGAGGAAACAAGGCTCGCTATCGTCCTCTCCCAGTGGACCACCCAGCCCATCGTCTAGCACAAGAGGTTCCAGGATTGCCGACAATATCAAAATTATCAGAATTGAGAAGACGAACGAACCTTTGGGCGCCACTGTTAGAAATGAAGGGGATGCCGTCATAATTGGTAATTTGAAATATATTTCTTATCCTCGTATCACATACCTAAATGCAGAGCTACATTGATGAAACGATAAACAATCTGTAATTAGTTCAATGAAATGAAATTCTAGGTGAATTCATGTTTAATGCAAATATTCATTCCCTAATTTTCATGAAGGTCGTGTTGTTCGTGGTGGTGCTGCTGATAAATCAGGCCTTCTTCACGAAGGGGATGAAGTATTGGAAGTAAACGGTGTCGAAATGCGTGGGAAGAGTGTGAACGAAGTGTGCGACATTTTGGCTGGTATGCAGGGTAGTCTTACGTTCCTGGTGCTTCCTGCTCCCACGAATCATAGAAATAATTTGTCTAACAACAGAAGAGAAGACAATACTCAAGTACGTTAAACAAAACAGCAATCTTATTAAAGCGTCGTACATACTAAAAAAAAAAAACAGAACGTATCTATTAAAATTTAGTAATTCCGCACAAAGACGTAATATGACTTAAACTGGTGTTCTCGTTCACAGATACAGCATGTACGCGCACACTTCGATTATGATCCCGAAGAGGATCCTTACATACCATGTAGAGAGCTGGGCGTTAGTTTTCAGAAAGGAGACGTGCTCCATGTGATTTCACAAGAAGATCCTAACTGGTGGCAAGCTTATCGAGAAGGCGAGGAAGACCAGACCCTCGCGGGACTTATTCCAAGCCGGGCTTTCCAACACCAGTAAGTACAAATACACTTGTTGGTCCTTTTCCTCAAACTGAGGAATCAGATGAAAGTGACTACTTAAATAATGAAACTTTATCATTGCTCCTTAGGCGAGAGTCTATGAAACAAACGATAGCTGGTGATAAGTCAACGGTACGGGGCGCAAAGAAGTCGAGCACCCTCCTTTGCGCGAGAAAAAATCCAAAGAAGAAGAAGAGGAATAAATTTGGCTCGAATTTCAACGACGACGGTTATCCTCTTTACGCTACCACCGCCATTGATGGTAAATGTTAATCAATTTGTGTTAAATTCTTAACCTGATGCTAGTCACATGCTATTTTCGAATAGTCACGTGAGATAATGAAGTACCACAGGTGACTAGCGGCTGGTTAAATTCTATTGACACCTTTTTCATTCCAACTTATATAAATTATCTGCGTAGACTATGACAGCGAAGAGGTGCTTACTTACGAGGAAGTGGCGCTCTATTATCCCAGGGCGAATCACAAGAGGCCAATAGTTCTTATAGGTCCTCCAAATATCGGCAGGCACGAACTTAGGCAACGATTGATGCAAGACAGCGAAAGATTTGCTGCTGCCATTCCTCGTAAGTTGAATTTCCTTTATAAATAAGTACGACTGGTTAATTACTTTGGACACAGTAATATATATTTTTTTCATAATTTCATTCTCAACGTCCAGATACAAGTCGACCCAGAAAAGATTCCGAGGTCGATGGCCAGGATTACCACTTCATATCCCGCTCGCAATTCGAATCAGACATTCTCTGTCGTAAATTTGTGGAGCACGGCGAGTACGAGAAAGCCTATTATGGAACGTCGGTCGAGGCAATACGATCGGTGGTGAATTCGGCAAAGATCTGCGTCCTGAACCTTCATCCACAGAGTCTTAAAATCCTACGGAGTTCCGATCTGAAACCTTACGTCGTCTTCGTGGCACCACCAAGTTTAGAAAAGCTCCGGCAAAAGCGATTAAAGAACAATGAAAGCTTCAAGGAGGAAGAATTAAAAGATATAATTGAGAAAGCACGCGAAATGGAAGATAAGTACGGACACCTCTTTGACATGATCATCATCAACAATGATACGGATCGAGCCTACAACCAGCTTCTCACGGAGATCAATTCTCTGGAGAGAGAACCGCAATGGGTTCCGGCAACATGGGTTCCATAATGCATGAAAGCAAAAAAAAACGCAATTTTAATTGCACTGTAGTCTCGTCTGATTTATTTGATTCGTGGAACAGCAGTGCTGATTGTAGTGCCATTGACATTTGACAAATGTTACTATGGCATTGTGATAGTGAGATAAAACAAAATCGTGATAGTACGTATTGCTTTTCCCTTAATGAGACTTTAAACATGGAAAATTCGCAAAGCATCTTCCATGCCTCTTGAGAAAATTTTTCACTTCAATTGTTTCGGGCAAAAACATATAAAAAAGATCTGACTCGTTCTCTGAACGGTTGGTTCCACTGAGCCAGAGCTGCCATGTGAGATTTATAAATCTTGCGGAAAAGGAAAACGCGACAATATGCCATTCGTTAAGTTCTTTGACGTCTTCGAATGTACCGCGTGAAAACGTCCAGCTATGACCGCCTCTTACCACGAACGGCTGCAAGGCCATGAAAATATCACGACACTCAAGGAGTTATTTCACTTCAGTTAAACGAATGAAATAAATACAAAAAAATAAATAAAAAGAAACTAATAATCTCAACAAAAGCAGATGTTACTAACGATTTACCGTATATATTCTAGACTGTCGCGTGTCCGCATAGAAAAATCGTGTTTCCCAAAGTATAGGCCCCGTTATGCAATACAGGTAGTTTGACTACAATCAATGGTGTAATGTTTTTCAACTATCGCGAAAACGTTGCCCTCTCAGCGAACGTATTCCTGTGGGACGCTAAAAGTGCCGCCACTTTCCACAGACATTTTTCTTTGCTAAATTCCTGCCAGCTAGAACCGTCATGTCGTTTAATCGAGGAGACTGTTCATTGTGCTAGAATTTTGATCGACGTAAGGTCGAAAACTCCATAGTCCCAAAGAAATATTGTCCGTGAAAAGAAAAAGAATATATCCTGTTTAGAAATATTCTGCTATCTAAATAAATAATATTCTGATTGTGAGCCAAGCGTGCACGATATGTGGGCCAAAATTGTCTGGTGCCAAATGTTCGCCATCGCACGCGAAAGCGAATGTGAAACTGAGATGTGCCAAACCTTACCGAAGACTTCGCTTAGGAGTTTCACGATTCAAAACACGCTCAAAGGCATCGTAAGATTCATCGTTAATAATTATGTAAATACTTGTGCAATTGTATAGAGAAAACAAAAGACATTGTTTATTATTATGTGGAGTGAGTATATGTGATCGGTGCGAAGGAAATAAAGAGAAAAAAAGAAAGATAAAAGCGATTTGTAGAAAGTTTCACGATTGGTCGATTCGGTCTCGCGAGTAAGTAGCTTCTGCGAAATGTGAAAATCGACCATGAGAGACTGAATATGGCAGGAAAGTGCGTAACGTGTTGTAGCTTGTAGATATGCAAATGCGTTCTACCAAAGCCGTTGCGATTTTAAACATTTAACATCTTATTATTTTGATGTGCACGAGTATACCCGGCCAACGAGAGAACCGGGTAATGCGAAAACAAGAGTGGATTAGAAGGAAGAAAAAATAAAGTCTCCCTCAGCAAGATCACTCGAGTTACTGGTATTTATCATTACGATTATTATTATTATTATTATTGTTATTACCATCATCATTATCATCATCCCAATTACTATACAGCAGAATTATGTACATTAATTGATATTGATTTTACGTGTAACATATAAACGTACAACGTTCAAGATGAGGTACTTATATATATATACATATATGTATATACATATTATATATACGCACATATATATACATATATATATAAAGGATATAAATATGAATATAAATACGAGATCGAATAATATAATTAGCAATAATGTCGATGTACTTGTAAGGATCATGAAATCAAGATGACAAATTCGAGAGACTCGTGCGAACATTCTAAAATTAAAATTCTTCCGAAAGCGTTAGCTATATATATTATGCTAATTAATATATTACGTTAAATTATATAGCGATCACGGAAAACAGGCTGACTATGCGGTAAACGTGTTCTGGAAAATTCGTAACGTTATCAGATGATCGGCCATTCTTCATTGTCGCCGAGACGTAACTTGAACTTTTGGAGTAACACATTTTTTTCTGACCGACGTTCCTGCTCACGAAATATACGCGGATGCAAAATGATACTCGCCCGAATGGCAGCTATGTACTACACAGAGTAATTATACTTCGAAATGGGTAAAGTCGATTCAGAGGACCACCGCGTCTTGGGATTGCAATCCGTCAGGGCGAGGAGGTTCATTTGGGGAATACAGATTATATAGATTATATATGAATAGAGAAAGATGGCGAGCTTAGTGAATATAAATCAGTTATTGGTACAGTTTAACGCCAAAACAACACGCTCTTTCAACTCTGTAACCGTGCCGATGTTTCACCACACCTCCTCCCCACTCTGTTATATATTCCGTTGAATAAAGGTTACTATAACATTTCTAATGTCATTCTTTACTTGCCACTTTTGAAGCTGACTGCTCATGTATATTTTAATGTCTCATCATATCAGCTTTTTTTACTCGTTATACACGGTCTGATATAGTTTTCATTGTGTACGAATTAAAATGCGACATAAATCTTGATAACATATGTAGGATTCGATCGTAAAATTGAATCCCGTGGATGTGCGATTGTATAGAGATGAACTGCAGTGGATTCTAATCTATAAAAATGTAAGTAAAGTCTAATTTACAGTCTGTAAGTGTGAGAAAAGTAATGCGCAATAATGCTCCGTTATTGCGTTTCATGGAATTTGCGAGAAACATTGATATCTTCTATGTTGAATTGTGATGCGGCCCTATTTTCTGTTTAATTCAAAATAATTCGTTAAAAAAGGATTGCTATTAGTGAAGTATATCAAATAGATAATCAGATTTTGCAAATTAGTGCTTTAATAAATAATTTACTGTATGTCCAATCGACAATACCAGCAGGTACTAGTCACGTGTTATGTCAAAATGGCTGCCGCCCTCTACAAATTCGCGAAGAGAGACCAGACGTGGCTGAGCGAGTATGGTGACAAGTTCTATTAAGAGTATACGCGAATAAAGTGTTGAGTATTGATCTCCAAGTAAGTGCATTTTGCTATTAGCAAATTGTATCAATTCCGTATACGAATTTGTGACAACGTTGGTAAGAATAAGGAGATATTTAATTGACTGTGAGTTGTAAATATTTTGAACCACACTACAGAAATGTCACCGAAACGCTACATCAATGAAAATGACGATTCTACGTCTGAGGATGAAGCTTACGACCCGAGTTATCAACCTGATTACGAAACGTCGGAAGGTAGTCCACGTAGACAATTTCAAAATGCCACTATGAATAACTCGAAAGGAGTTCGTAAGCGGGGACGAGATAACTCGAAGCGACCTTGCCTGAATAGAAATGCCCTCATGGCTAGAGAAAATCGACGACGGAAAAAGGAATATCTACAGAAACTCGAGAATAAACTCTCGTATTATCATCAACAAAATAAAAATCTGACTACTCTTGTTCAGAAACAAGACATTGACATAAAAAGACTGAAAGGCGAGGTTGCATACCTGAAAAGTATCCTCAATAACAACACTACCATTACAAAATTACTCAAGTCACTGAATGATGGACTTAAGCAGTATAAAGGTTCATCGAAGAATTTAACACATAGTAGTGGTGCATCTTGTTCATCATCTACAGGCATTCCTTCAGATGCACCTTCAGTGCCATCAAGTACAACATCAGAATTAAGTATACAGGAACACGAGCATCTGATACCAACAAAGAACCAAAGTAATTTTAGTGATATTTTCGAATCAGAAGGTAACTTCTTAAAAGATAAATGGCCAAAAGAATACCTGAAAAGACACACCTATAATAGTAAAGGTTTCAAGTTGCCAGCAGCTAGACAAACTGGACATTCATTTTCAGATTTAGACCACACTTATACCATACCGAGAGATGACAGGATCGAGAGAGGGTTAGAATTCCAGAAAGGTATAGAATCCCAAGGTATACTACGACCACCGGCAAACTCTAAAACCAACAAAGAATTTATAGACGATGCTGAAATCAAAGAACAGAATGATTTGAATTCGATGCTATCAGTCACAGATAATAATATTTCACAGTTAGATAAAAAAATGGACATAGGGTTATTAGATACAGGAATTAATGATCTCTTATCGTTTGATATGGATATTTTTAATGACGTTACGAATTTTGATCATGGGATTGATCCATTGGACTTGATACAAGATCCACCAAACAATGTTGGAGATGGGAATTCATTAGGAAATCTCGATAACACAGGAATATGTCTTCATGTTAACTCAGGGAAAGTGTCTTTGGAATTCTGTTCTTCATGTCATTTAAACAACATAAATTCTGAATTGGAATGAGCACACAGTTATGAAGAGAAAATTACAACCAGAACAAGAAGTCCTAATATCTTGAATAATCCTCAGTGGAATTTCCTGGAGTCTTCAGAGAATAATACGTATGTCATAACAACCATTTTATAATGGTATGCGAAGTAAATCAGCGTACAATGGTCTGTATGAAAAAATGTGATCTTTAGGATCAAACACGTAAACTTTTTATAATAGTGTGATACGTTTACCCTTTGTAAATAGTTTTTTTATATTCATATTTCTTTTCATGATTTTGACATATTAAGATAAGAAATAATGACCCAAATATACGACGCAGCTCCGGATTATATAATCAATTATCACTTATAAGAAAAATAGATTATAAGAACATGAAAGTCCGATTATATATTTGACACGGTAAATCGGACTGAGCATGTAAAAATATCAAAATAGCGCAACTCGAAAATAGATAGCTTATAGTATGTTCCGTTAGGATTCCTTGTGAGTTACCCCGAGTCTGTAAAGATTATTTCCTTTTTGCAGGATAGCAGCGTGGCGAGGTTGAAGCGACTGTTCCGTATTTTGCGAAAGGTGGGCGTCAATGTGATTGTATAAACTAGACTTTACCATCCTGTTAAAATCCATCTGTCTTCGAGAAGCTTATATACCGATTTTATAAGGGTATTGTATCGCAATTGCTAAGAAAATCATAAAGCTCAATAATAATTATATATTACGGATATATAGTTGATAAGAATTAAGAGTTTTAATAATAATTTCACGACATTGTATTTTAACAGGGCAAAGTCTGGTTCGTCTGACGCATCTTATTATTGGTATAATTCATTCTTTTGGAATGGTTGCAGTAATGCATAAAAGAAATCGGGACTTTCTGGAGCTGTGATCGACCTTTTACATATTGAATCTTTTACGTCATGCACAGGTTGAGTATAAAAGTATCAAGTAGATTTTTATTCATACATTGACTATATTACCACCATCATTACCATAAACTGTTTCGACTGACTTACATTTGAATGGAGCATCAAGCTTTGACAGAGATTTAACTATTGATTTACTTGCCATTCTATTTACAGTTCCATCGCAGTTATTGTACCAATAACTATAAAACAGTTAGTTCTCATTAGTTGATTATTTAAGTTTCAGCAAAACGACAAGCCACTCGATCTACTGCGAAGGGACTTTCTACACATCAGACATGTTGTTTGGCAATCGGCTGTAACATTAGAAGACATGTTTCAATATGGTAGACAGCATTTCATTTATATCACTCAAAATCTTTAGTCAATTCCATTTTTTACACTGTTGTTGACTTAATTTTACTTTCATTTAATATCAGGTGCATGACCAGAAATGCTATTAAGCATTCTATTTGAATAAAAACTATCTTTCTAATAAAATATGCGATAATTATGAATGAAGCAGCGTCTTTACAGACCTCGGAGGCAAAATAAATGTAAGATTGATATGTTGTTAATTTAGATCATATATTTGTACGACTTACATACGTTGTAAATAAGAAAGTGTTTTCTTTATATCCTAATGTCTATTTTCTTTACTTTCACTTATATTTAACCTCGACAATAATTTACGACTCTGTAGTAAAAATACTTTTTAAAGGATGACTAAGAATTGTGTTGCCACCATTGTTAACTAAAAATATAGAATGCAAGTAACACAAGAATACTACACGTAATGTTATGAATACATATTTCGCATTTTAAATTCATGATACTCTGATGGCAGTACCTGCTACATTACATACTTTAAATTTTTCTAGAACTCGAATTTGTACAGAACTGAGCGTAAGATGGTCAGAGTGGAAAAACTATTACTTCCAGTACCATTTGCTCGTTCTACGTACTCTGGACATTTTACCTCAGGATCCTCTGTGTACCACACTTTTTTTAGGTCATTGATATAATTTCCATGAATAAAGAAACTGATGACAATACTGAGATTTCAAACATTTGCGAACTAAAATTTGTCTATTTACGTTATGCTTTAAAATGATATCATCCATTACTTCAATTTATTACATATATTCTGACAAATTAGTGACCTATTCAAATACTGGATTTTCATGTAGTTTTATTTCCTCTACAATTATATACAAGGGTCAAGGTATGAAAAAATGTTTAAAACTATAATAGGTTGGTTAAGTTTAAACACCAAGCCTGCTGAAAACACCTGGTTTTTTTAAGTGTGCCACAGTTGTAATTTTATTAAATGTGACTTGTTTAGCTGTAGATGCTGCAATACCTAAACGTGCTTTTGCTGGGACAGAACCAATCCTTTCCGAAGCTGTAAAAGAATGATTGAATGCAGATGATATTACATCGATATTATAGATTGTCATATTTCAATTTGATACATACCCAATTTACTAGATGTGGCGACTTTTCTTACGACGTTTGGTGTACCTGTTTCTTTATCAAAATTGATGTTTCTTGTTGTCCGTATCAAGTGCTTCATGTTGTTTGACAGACTCTTTTGTTTTTTCTCTTGATCAGCACGCATTGTACCTGCAGATTTAGGTACAGTTTTTAAAACTTTTTTTGTTTTCAAAATAGTAGCTCCTGTTCTAGCTGATTCATTCTTTAAAATACCCTGAGAGGGACTTGTGATTGTCCCATTTTTAAGTATACCAGCATATGGCAACTGTTCTTTTTTAGCATCTTTATCACCAAGTCTATTGAAAACACTTGAATTTCTCTTCAAAACCTCCTTCCCAATTCCAGTGATATTAAATGTTGTATTTGATTCAGCTAGATTTGTTGTACTTGTCACCGAGCTGTCTCCTAATCTATCAAACACAGTCCGCTTCTGTTCCAAGGCCTTTTTCAAGATTTGTTGAGTCTTTACAGTTGTCCCTTTTGGCAAGATGACCTTATATCCTACATTGTCAGATTCTGCTGGTTTTAATTTCTTTTTAGAATTCCACTCCTCATCGCTCTCCACATGAAATTGATCTACATTCTGTTCAATCTTTCTTTTTAACGTTGCTTGTGCTTTTTCTTTATCTATGTAATGTGAAATCACTCTAGTTGTACTTGGGATTGTTTTCTTCTTGACAACAGTAGATTTTGTAACTGTACTTGTTGAATTCTTTATAGGTTTGATATTATCCAAAGATTCAGGCTTCACTTTGGTTGAAATAACAGGCTTACTAGGAACTTTTAAAATTATTTTTTTGCTTGCCGGTTTGCTTGTCATATTAGACGACAATACAGTGTCTTCAGAGTCTACAAGAAATCTCTCACAAGTGGTCTCTTCAACCACCTTTTTGGCATAGCGTAAAATTGCTATCATATCACCCATTAACATGATTCCCATCTCTTTAAGACTAGGTTTATCCAGATCGGGTAACATGTCTGGCTTAATACGGTTATTTGAAAATACAACAGCATGTTTAGTTGCCACATCTTGAGGAAAACCAGCACCTTTGAAGAACTTTACCCAATATGCTGTAAACAAAAAAAATCTTTTCGCATATCCCAAAGTAATTTTAATTTATATATAAATCTAACCTAACCTATAAATTTACATTTACAAAAAAGATAAGCGAACAAGTGCACCTTTGACTCCTTTATTTAATATTTGTTTTGTATTAATAGCAATACGTACTTGATAGAGATGCTGCCATCTTTTTAAACCACGAAATAACTGAATCTTCAGCAAACTTTCTGTCAACAGCGAAAGGCTGCCTTTTCACTACTTTTCACCGCCAGCATTTATTTTTGCCGTATCCTACGCTCCGAAGATGGGCAGCCATGAACGGTCATGGACAGCCATTGCTGATGAAACCTGTGATCATCAAAGTAAATTCACTGCCTAAGTTTACAATTTTATTATTTTTAAACTCTTTTTAATAATTACATGAATTATATATGTAGAACAACAAACATATAGTTAAATCACGGGGTTCTCTAGATTTTTCAAAAGGAAGTTGATTTCAAATACGTACTTAGAGAACTGCAAATTACCCTTTCACGTATTTCAAAATAATTTGCAAATCATATATATTTCAAATAATTAGTCGGTCAAGCAATACGTATACTCAAAATATTTTAGTAATAAAAAAGATTGATCGTGACACGTACGATTAATAAAATGAAATAAATCAAATGAGAAGTAGAATCGCTATTGGTTAAGAGTCGTTGTTTCCCTTCTAGGTGAAAATAGTTCGCGCCATGGTACCCGTCAGTGCTCGTGACGCGTCGTGAGCATGGAGTTGCCCCGGTTGTTTCGGGAATTTCGCGCGGATAACTGTGCTATTTCTGTGGTGCGTGGGTGAATGAGGTTCCCCGGCCGACCCCGCTACTATTTTCGACGTCTTCAAGTTTTCTGAGTCGCGTGCCGCTTGAGTGGGGTACTCGTCCGCGAAAAGGACAGAGGTTAGTTTTGCTAATCAAGTCTGGATGCTTAGGGTGCCGCCATGGACCAAACTGCCTGCGGCTCTAAAGAAAGGGAGAGAGATAAAAGAATAACGAGAGTAGAAAATCGCCATTTTACTACTTGACACATGGGTCCTTTAGAAAAACATCTATATTGATAATTTTAACTAGTACATTGCCTTTCGCGATAGACTCTAAAAGTGTAATACCCTAACGATAACCCGTCAAGTAATAGCAACATAAATAATTTTCAGCCCGGTACCAAACGGATGATGTCTCTTAATTCGAGCCAAACTAATATAATTATCAACATCTTCCCATCTTCGAATTTTCCATATCTCGTGTATGTACAAGTGCATGCGTAGGTGGGGTAGAGATGTCGGGTCCGCGAGAACGGTTCGAGAGTGGGGTTGGCCACTCCAAAGAGGGTTGATAGAGTGGGGATAAGTTGGTGGGGGCTCTTGCGTCGACGAGCAAGCTCTGTGTCAGACTCGAGGCAGAGGGGTCAACGCGAGGGAAAGAACGACACGAACCGTTTTCTGGGCTTGGCGGGTACGTTTCACGTTTTAGGCCGCTCTGTCTCTCCTCTCTTTTCCTCTCTCTCTCTCTCTCTCTCTCACACACACACACTCTCTCTCTTTCTCTCTCTTTTATCTTTTTTCTGATCTCTCTCATTCTTTCCCTATACACCACACATCACATAGACGCACAGAGCCATACAGCAAGACATTAATACGTACACTGAATATCTGTTGTCGCGAGCCCAGTGTGGCTGTACCCTTGGTTCTTGGCGGCCTTTGCACAGACGGGGGTTGTCGTACCAGTTGGTTTTTGTACGGTCGGATATCGAGTGACAGACAACGTTTACGTTTGAAGGAACGTGATACACGGAAGGATGAACGACATGGAGGCCTATGGTGACGGATACATGGAGCCGGAGGAGGAATGGGAGAGGGAGGGTCTTTTGGACCCAGCCTGGGAAAAGCAGCAGAAAAAAGTGAGTGAAAGTTTTGTTTTTGTATTATTATCGCGAGCAATTAATAGCCGAATTATTCCTTTTTCAAATTTTCAAGAACCTAGTGTCCCACCGTAGTGGTTATTTTGGGGTTGTGTACGAATTTAAAGATATACTCTCGCGCTTTGTACCACTGGTCACGTAACATTGCGATTGAGACACGCGTGCAAAACTACAAAACTGTATCATTCGGTTATGTAGCAGCAGTCCGTTCATTTTTAGTATTTCAGCAGTTGACTCGAGGTTACACTTTTCGAGGCTTCTCGTTAACCTTACTTTTCTTTATATACATAATTACAGGACGCACTTAATGTTACCAAAGTTATGCGGACATTCCTTAATATACAACTGTCTGTAAAAGTGAACCGTACCTTCTAGTTCGAACGGAATCGTTCTGACATTTATAAACCAGTTCTCGCGTGCTGGATTGAATGTTTGTATGTAACTTACCATTAGTACAGCACGTATCATCTAGGCTTCTTACTTTGATAGATGATCATCCATAGCAGAGATCTTCATTTAAATCCGAGTACGTTAACTGAAGTATTGATATCCGTCATGTTTCATTTTCAATGAACAAGAGTAACGTACACGTGGTGTGGAATTTAACAAAGCAAACTAATAGTCGTTTTTCTTTAATTTAATATTTTTCTATGAATGTTTTCTTCTACCAGACAACACGATGGTAATTCGTTTCAGACGAACAAGTTCGCTGGTCGTCTTTACTGAAGTATCGTCCATTAAAGGGACATATAAGCATAAGGAGGAACTTGCGGCAATTGTTTGCTCGAATTCCTGCGACGTATTGACCTCTTGTCTTAAGACTCAGAAGAAACTAGGTCCCGTAATCTCTTGTCGAACATCAAACAATACAGCCCGCTAAGTCGTGCCAGTCCCCGTCGCGAACCACATTGAATTCTTTTCTTAAGAGCCTTAAGAGCAAAGTATTTGCCGCTAATATCCCATCGTTGAATATCAACTGCGTCATTGATTCTAACGAAAGAAATGCCGATTGACCCAGTGCCTATTCCTGGTCGAACAAGAAGATCCTGGTGTTAGTGGCTAGTGCAGTTTCGATTGATGAAGTGGAGCGCCGCGATCTACGCGGGAATGACGTTTTCCCTGATTTTTGGCAGACGCTCAAGGCCCTCAGCTCGCCTTTGCTTTGCTTTGCCTTGCTCCTTCATTCGTCTATCCTGCCCCCCTCCTCCTTTTACCCTCCTCCTGCTCACTGCAGCCCTTTAGACTGTATTTTCGGACTTTATGACGAAAATAATTGAGCGATGACTCATATTCGGGCTATGGCTTCATAGAACATCCCGGCACTGTTCGACAAACCTTTATTATTTCTCTGTCTATTTCCAGTGAGCAATGTCATGTTTGACGTCGTTAGAGTGCTTACTAAATAATCGTCACTCGCATCGTCATCGTCGTCGCGGTCGACCTCGTCGACTTAGTAATCGTCACTCTAAACTATTTTTTCGATAAGCCTGATAATGTTGATCTCTATACGATTAATTGTATTTTATCATCGCTTCTACAGAGCACGGCTATATGTCGTACTACGCGTATATTTAAAGTTTGCATAGGAATCAGTCGACACAGCTTTCTGTCTGTGTAAACTTTAAAAATTGACTTTATCCATCTTTTTCAAAAACATTATTAGTCATTATGAGCCAGTAATATATACACATCGAACGTCGGCATATCTACGTTCCAAGATATCAAACTTATTCGTGTTTTCAATCGATATCTTTAAAATTCTTTACGTCGTTATGACACACTCCAAATTGCGAAACACACTTCCTCAAACCAACAGCAAGCATTCCGCAATCGCGACCTATACCCAGGCTAAAGGCAAATTCACGTCCCTCAACCAACTCCGACAATCAAGACTATCATAAACTTGACATCCTCGGCCTGGCAAATACCAAAGTACAGCACACAGAACTTTTGACACATTATGAATTCAACTACCGATTCGTTACCCCGCCAGCCTGCGGATTTTTACAATAAATATAAGGGAGCAGAAAGCCCCTTATGCTCAGTTCTACTGCTCAGTCTGGCGGTTAACGTCAACGCTTATTCGGGTAATTATTATTAACCACAATCTTGCCATTGTTAATTATTTCATTTGATAAACCTATATTGGCTCTCTCCCAAAACTGTTCGTCGCTATTTCTTTCAAGTAAAATATCTTTTCGAATATATTTCGAACCCAGGGTCTGGGTTCACTCTCTATGTATAGTTTGATTACTAACCAAAGTATAACACTGAAAAAAAATATTTAACACGGTATCAAACGTCCACTGCTGGATTATATGAATCGAGGTGCATGGTGACCTTCAATTGACACGCGCCATTGTTCGGTGGATCATTGTATGCAATCATTTTTGGAGACGCCGTAATAAATACTCTTAATTTGACTGTATAGGATCATCCGAAATTTCCTGTGTATGATTTATCTTCTAGTTTGCAACTGTTTCGTTGACTAATTCTACGGGAAATGACTATAGCAAGGAAAGTAACGCAAGTTCCGGCTCGGCGTGGCACGCGAATGATTTCAGCATTGAACTGCCCGGTCAATGCGAAAGTAAATAAGCCTTTTAATCTGAATATTTGTCAATGTCGACTTTTGCCCAGACGAATTCACATCTTCAAGTTATAAGAAATATTTCATGACGTTACAGCCTTACGGGAAACATCATTTCACGTGTTTGAATCGAATTGACTGAACATCCTGTGCTTATTCGTCTTTCGATATTCGTCTAAACAGGCTGAAAGGTGTTTAGCTGGTGCATTCCTGGCGCGGTTGTCCGAGAGAGTAGAAAGTCTGATAAGGGATTAAAAATGGGGTTAATGACGCGATGACACCAGACTACTGCAAGCTTCGTATAAATGTTACAAGCGATTACGATTTTTTGGTCTTTTTTTCACTTTTGACAATTTACAAGCGCTGATCAAACACTCGGATCAATCAGTTACATCGCAAGCCTCATATCAGTCGATAGTTCTTTTTTTTTTTAATTCTCACGAAGAATTCTTATTAATGTTACATCGAAGTGAACATGCGATAACGCGAAATAGATACTTTTTTTTTGATACTATACTAATTTCATGAATCTCACCGATGCTTTGAAAGCCACAGGTGTCTAAATTTATTAATTTCTAATCAAGATTGCCAATACACGTTGGCTATACTTTCCATAAATATAAGGTACTTGGGTGAATGTTCGGTTAACTGTATAAGAAATTTCTTGTAAACCGTGCTGAGTTAGCGAGCTGCACGGTACATTCCGAACAACGGCAATGGACATTTCTCCTGCAATATGGGTCACGTTACTCGATGCTAGCTTGAAATAAATAATACAAAAACTCGTTTCTCCATCTCTTCTTGATCCGTGTCTTATAGCCGTGGATATATAGTTACAATCGACCATAATATTGCATGTTGCAATAACAATACGCGTCACTGATAATACACGGAATCTTCAGGGATGAGGATCGTTAACCTTTACGAGGATTAGGCTGCGTGCCAAACCTTAGATTGGAATCGGGTGACCCACTCATGCCAAACTTTGACTAAGGCGATTGTTATGCGGTGATAAGTCTGCACTTGCGCGTTACGCATATCTTATGCACGCGAGTGCCATTCATCTTAGAAGACTTTCTATGTACGGACGCCTCTCGATATTTTTAGGTTAGGTCGCGCCCCCCTATGATTCGTTTTTGGATGGGTGCACCGATGACGTGACCTTTTTTTTAATAGTAACGAATCTACCGGTTTAATGCTGCACAATATTCACACGCGTTGTTAATTGTGCAAGAGGAATTGTGACGATTTCGCGACAAACATGGAACGGAGTACCTGTAACCTTGCTGGCCTTGCTATTAGATTATTCGCTCTATTCGTAACGTTACGCGACGAAATTTAGCGTCTAAGGAAAACCCATAGGCCGTTTCTATTATTCTGAGAATAAGCGCATACGAGGCAACGGTGGGGTGGGGTTTGGACGCCCGGCGTCCCGTTGCGTCATCGACGCTCGTCTAAAAGCGATGGCTCACAAAAATATCTTCCCAAGATCTCGCGATGTATTTCGTAAACAAACGAGCAAAACGTTGAAATGAAAATTTTCGGCGACGTTACGCATCGTTTTGTAAAGGATTTTTATTATTTTTTGTTCCCCCCCTAAGGAAAATACGTCATATACGTTATCGCTAGGACATTAAACGAGTGTCCTGTCGTTTACGAAGAATGAAGGTACATTCACACCGTCATTCGAGACGCTCATCTACGTGACCTCAAGCTTTCCTAACGTGAGACACGAGTGTAATTCAAGTCGTGGATTCCTGCTTCTGACACATCCGGATATCCGTGCTTACTCAATGTATCATTGATTAAAGAAAACTATCACTCATTCTTTACGTAGAATTAAAAAAGCAAGATGTTTTAATCGTTAAACTGTTCGAATAACCCAGGCGCGATTCTCTCGTTCCTGTATGCGCGAGAGACGAAGTCTGATAGTCTATTTGCATTTTTCAAATAGCTTCGCAGAATGCGTAAACATATTTATCGCGGTAGACCGGTATCGTGTATTAACGGACAATAGCACCTGCCTCTTTCCGCGAGCACCTGCTGCCTGGATGAAAGAACGTTTCTAGCGCGCTAAGATTCGCAAGAGAAAGACATCGCCCCTCGTGTCACTTTATTCTCTTCCATGACGTGGGAAGTGGCTCCCGGCCGATCTCAGCCTCTCGATAAGTTCGATCGTCTGCAAGCCGATCGCGCATCAGTTGCTTTCTCCGTTTCCTCAATGCCTCCATACCCGGTGCAACGTGCTCGAGGTATTCCTCGATGCGTCACCTCAGCGTTTGAATAAACAGGCTGCTATCTTAAATACATACGTTACCATAGGCGCACGTGACTACACGAGTGTCATGAAGGCTGTTCGACTCGTTATTAGACCAATGGAGATTGTATATGTGTATATCGACACTGCAAATACTTTTTATAAAGAAACGGTTTACATTCTGGAGGGTTGGTCCACTTTTAGCCGGACGACGAACTACCGTTGAACTGTAATTACCAAAGTTAACCTCAGCCTCGTGATATTCTCTCTGGACATCCGCTGTAGATGTTTTAGGTTATTTTTGTTATAACCGAGGGTTGATTTGGTGTCATCCAAGACAAGTTATTGCGAGGAATAATGTTTGAAGATTCCACACGTCAAAGCCGGATAGTGTTCTGCTATACTTAGATTTTACTCGTTCGGGAACATCGACCACTTGTAATTTTGTATTTGAGAATGTCAATCAACCTTGAACACCTACGTCGTCAGTCCGTACGGCCATCTTAGATTCGTTTATACTTGGAGCATTTATTGACCTTAAAGTAAATGTCTCGCCTGCAGTTGCAGTTGCGATTCTTTTTAATATGTTTATCTCCAGCTGTTAGTTTCTTGTGTGACGGAGCTCCATGCCGATATTTCGATTTTACCGAGGTAACAATTGCAAACTGTTGACAGTGCACCAACAGCTCGTGTTTTTATTAAGATAGTGGGTAATGGGCGTCTTCAATACTGACGACGATTGCAACAGCGAAGGACCGTATCCCGGGTTAAGCTGCTCCGGCGATACGGAGAGACAGCGGCAGACAGCCCAATGTTTTTGAAACGCGCTCGGCAGCCCGGTGCGGGAGGAGTCGATGTTTTACAAATAGATCGTAGTGCTCCGGTTGAGGTTAGGGTGGCTCATGTCCAATTTTGGCCCGCCGCGCGTTACGCTGCCCGTATTAAGTTTCAGACAATATTTTTCCCTCGGAAAAATTTCATTTTTAGATCCGACGACGCTTTTTTTTTTAATTTCTTTTTATTTCTCCCGTAATATCTGTGCAATATTTATGTAATGTCGGAAATGCCGTCTTATAGATAATTTAACCTTACCGGCATAGTCTGTACGTTTGAGAATAATGATGAAGCAAATTCTGACAGGTCTCTTAACGCTAGTCTTTTTCTACTTTCAAGGTCACGTGTAAAATCGAAAGACCCGAAGGCGGCTTCTCTACTCTTCCGTAACACTTTTCTGAATCAGTTTCCTGACGGCTTGGAATTCTATAATAGAGAAATTCCTCGGAAAAGGGCACAGGAAAAATCGCAGTGCCTACGTGTAATTGTTATAGTTCGAGGAAAGTGTGGTCCAGGAACTGGATATATCAGCTTTGCACTGGCGGCAACAAGGGGCTTCTCTCCTATCCATAAAGATCCACGTAGCACAAGCTGGTCTTTGTTATATTTTACTGAGTAGAGCACACCTGCCTGCTCTACAATAGATTGCGGGCGTAGACAGTTCGCAATTCGATAAAGTACGATTCGCACGTTCACTCGAATATTGGGTGAGCGGATCTCGAAACGTGCGAATCTATTGGTCAACCTTAGTAACCAAGTCAGCGAGAAACTTGTAAAGGTTTCTCATATACTTATTTTCTCTATAGCTATTTTCGGCGGCTTCACGGAAAATAGTCCCTGACGCAAAAAAATTGGCTGGAAATTATTTATAGAGTTCAGAAGCGCCGCGACCATGATAGAGCTTCTCACGATATCCGAGGCATCGACGTTTAACATTGGCTGTAAAATCTTGGCAATCACCTGCTTCGTCATCAATTTTACTATATTTCATCTGTGAAAAGCAGTGCTTCATAGCGAAAGATTAAATTCCTTAAAAAAAAATCAACAATAAAAATTTATGAAAGCGATAGATCACATTTTAAAATAATGTTTATTCGATCGATAAATATTTCCTGCTCAGTTTGAAATTTTTTACCGACAATTCAATAACTCAATCCGAAGTGGCCCATCTTCGGCACCGCGCTAACCGATGGCTGTAATTTCCTTTTCAACTGAGTGCCAACGAAATGAATCAATTGAAGCAAATAACCCACGATTGGACGATTGATAGAGCATTAATTGAAAAGTATAGCTGTCGGTCTATCTTCGTATTGTTAAAATGGCTCCGACTAACCGTTAATCCTGAAACGACAAAGGTTGCCGCCGTACGTCTGTGCACAGAGTACTCTGCGAAGGCTGCAAACGTAATTTGTTACTGCACTTTGGGACAAGTTTGAGTTCTCGTAACATTGTCTATGAATAGATGTACTTGGAATGCATAATAAATACGACGTGTATTACCTGCGCATACGAAGGGGCGAACGTTTAAGCAAAGGAACATTGCCGAGAGCAGTAGAGGAAGCGCAGCTTCGGAATCAGGACGCTAGATATATATATAGCATAAGGGATCGGGGTCGTTACTAAAATATACACTAAGCAGCATCAGAGTCAAACTCAATTCCACGTTATAAATTCTCACCCGGCCTGTGTTCTTTCCAATCAAGCCCAATACAATTAGAGCTGAAACACTTGTCGAACGATTATCCTCGACGATTACGTCGTAAACGTATAGCGCATTAAATTTTCTGGATCGAACCGTGTAATACGGATCAAGGGAGTCAATGGGCATTTCCAATTTGTATGAAAATTGATGGTTATTAATCATTCGTTAATAGCCGTAATATAGCTGCCGTGTTTACGCGCAATTCTGAAATTACGCAATCGAGACGGTCGCCTTCGAGAAATTCCAGCGCCGGGCTAGATTTGCCAGTCTGTTATTCGTCCGCGAATTATCTGAATATACGATAGGACAAGTCCACGCCTTGTCGAGCAAATGTAAAATTCGTCGTTAGAGTCGGTGGTGCGTAGAAACAGAGACAGAGGCCAGGCAGGAAATAGAGTGTATTGTGACACGCTGTGTACTTCGCATAGCTTGGCGAATTCAAGATGATTAGATCATCGAAACTGGAAAAACGTGCCCGCGTGTATAATAGCGAGTAATGATGCCTTTATTATTTTATGGTTTAATAGTATTCGTTTGCAGTAGTATAACGTAGGACCATTTTCGCTCCCTGCTGTACGAAGCGTATGACGATGTGTTGGTGGAAGACCCAAAAAAGTAATACAGAATTCGTAGGCAGTATCAATTGTATCAATCGCGAAGACATTTTGCGCAATCATGAATTGATCGTAAATACGAGAGACATTGGACTTGTTAATTGGTATAAATATTTAGTTGAACGAATTCGAAGAATCAACATACATACCTACGGTCGGAGAAATTTTGTCGCATAACAACTAGGTGTGGTTCTCCTTCGGAACGGAACTTTGGTGACAATACAAGTGACTAGTCTTAATGTTTTTTCATTAATTGCAGACCTTCACAGCATGGTGCAACTCGCACCTTCGCAAGGCGGGTACCGCCATCGAATCAATCGAGGACGACTTCAGGAATGGATTGAAGCTGATGCTCCTTCTTGAGGTGATCTCCGGCGAGACCCTTCCCAGACCCGACCGTGGCAAAATGCGCTTCCACAAGATTGCCAACGTTAATAAAGCTCTTGACTATATCGCCAGCAAGGGGGTGAAGCTGGTCTCCATCGGTGCTGAGGGTGAGTATATAATATTTAAATGTTATTAGAGTACTTGTAAAAATGGATCAGATTTAGAAATCTTGAAATTAAAGTATCAATTTTGCAATAGAAATCGTCGATGGCAACCTGAAGATGACGCTGGGTATGATCTGGACAATAATCCTGCGCTTCGCCATCCAAGACATCTCCGTCGAGGAGATGACGGCCAAGGAAGGCCTGCTGCTCTGGTGCCAGCGCAAGACGGCGCCGTACAAGAACGTCAACGTGCAGAACTTCCACCTGTCCTTCAAGGACGGTCTGGCCTTCTGTGCGCTCATCCATCGCCATCGACCCGACCTCATCGACTACAACAAGCTCAGCAAGGACAATCCCCTGGAGAATCTTAACACGGCGTTCGACGTTGCCGAGAAATACCTCGACATACCACGCATGTTGGACCCCGACGGTGAGTCCAAAGCTTAGGATTCCGAACAATGGAAATAGAACCCTCTGTTTAGATTGAATTGGACGCGCCGAGAATCTGATGTTTTCACATCGAATTCCTTCGAGTATGCGTCCCTAATTGAATTGATTTTCAGCTGCGTTTAATATTTGCAATTATTCGACGACGCGAATCGTCGCTGTCTATATAGGTTTACGAAACTTTTTTTTCTCCGGAATTTAGGACGAGGTTAACGTTTTTTTTCTACATACTCGTAGTACCTGTATGAATTTTGTGACATTGTATTCGATAGATTTGATCAACACTCCCAAGCCGGACGAACGGGCGATCATGACCTACGTGTCCTGCTACTACCACGCGTTCCAGGGTGCCCAGCAGGTCAGCGCAATGAACTGCGTGTTTTGTCTCTTTTTCTATCCAGAAATGAAAATCCAACCCGCGCTGCTCCTAACACATGAAGTAAAAACTTTGCGCTTCGTTCTAACAGCATTCCATTTGTACAGATGTTGTAATGTTCTTGGATAACAAATTCTTGTGCTCGCGAACCAATTGATCACTCAAGTGATTGAAATTGTTGATTAGAGATTTTTTAATGTTTATTATTGATTGGTAACTTTAGTATATCAATTGAAGCTAAATGCAATTCGGTGTGTCAATTAGTGGATAAATTTGAAAAACATTAGTCCTATCAAGTGAACAGGTAGTTTTGCCGACACGATTGCACTGATATATCGAACTGTTTTCTTTGATATTTTTTTTCAAAAATAAAGGAGAACAGAGTTTTCTCCCTATACTATGATGTGATTGCCTTCGATCACTACATTAATGCATATATCTTCGAAAGACTGGGCTAACAACGCATGGTTTGTGTTTTTCCGACTGTGTTTTTCTAGACATGCGCAATACGGCTATGCCTGATGAGAGGGCTGTGATGACCTACGTGTCTTCGTACTATCACTGTTTCAGTGGTGCTCAAAAGGTGTGTTTTATTGCAACTGTCATTAACTTTTTAATCACTAAAGCAACTTTACTCTTTTTGTATATCAAAATGTCTTATCCCTTTAGATAGTGCATTCTGAATACAGAATATGTTGATATACGCACGTACAAAAAGTAGGATTTCATTGATCTTCTTAAAATTTATTTTATATTGGCATGATCACGGGTGCCATTACTTTCACAATCGTACAATGTAAAAACTGTACATTCGATATTATAATAAATAATATTTGAAGTATCGCTATTAAATACGGTAAATACGTATAAAGTATATCGGTATACTTGTGCAGCACAGTATTGAGTTACACTGATGAAATTTATGGAGGTTTGCTGCCATACAAGGTATTACTTACTAAAAATAAAAACTTACAATTGACATGTTTAATCGTAGGCTGAGACTGCCGCAAACAGAATCTGTAAGGTTCTGAAGGTAAACCAGGAGAACGAGAGGCTCATGGAGGAATACGAGCGTTTGGCCTCTGATCTGCTGGAATGGATTAGAAGAACAATGCCTTGGTTGGCTAGTCGTCAAACTGACAATTCCCTGGCTGGTTGTCAAAAGAAACTGGAAGAGTACAGAACTTATAGGCGCAAGCATAAGCCTCCACGTGTCGAGCAGAAAGCTAAGCTCGAGACGAATTTCAATACTTTGCAAACCAAACTAAGGTTGAGCAATAGACCAGCTTACATGCCCACCGAAGGCAAAATGGTTTCCGATATCAACAAGGCTTGGAAAGGTCAGCTGCATTATTCATTATTGTTACTTCTGTAAAATTAATTTCTATTTAAAGTATAAATCTTAATATGGTAATCATGGAATTTCAGGTCTGGAACTTGGTGAAAAAGCCTTTGAAGAATGGCTGCTGTCCGAGATGATGCGTCTTGAACGTCTTGAACACTTGGCGCAGAAATTCAAGCATAAGGCTGACGCTCATGAGGACTGGACCGCAGGCAAGGAGGAGATGTTAACCTCTCAGCACTTCCGTCAGTGCAAACTGAACGAATTGAAGGCTCTCAAGAAGAAACACGAAGCCTTCGAGTCTGATCTTGCTGCCCATCAAGATCGCGTAGAACAGATCGCTGCCATTGCCCAAGAACTCAAGTAAGATTCGACTATTTCAGTAAGCGTTGAACGGGGTATTGTTGTTAAAATCCAGGTGGTCATGAATTACTTATTTCTCTGCAGCACCCTCGAGTATCACGACAGCGCATCTGTGAATGCCAGATGCCAACGCATCTGTGATCAATGGGATCGGTTGGGAACTCTTACTCAGCGCAGGCGTCAGGCTCTGGATGAAGCCGAGCGTATTTTGGAGAAGATTGACATCCTACATTTGGAGTTTGCGAAGCGCGCTGCAGTAAGCATAAAAGAAATCGCTATGTTTCTCCAAATCTATTCGTCAATGCATTGGAAGGACTCTTATCGTTCGTGTGTTATACGCTTTTAAGCATACGTGTCAAACTATCCTTTCAGCCGTTTAACAACTGGTTGGATGGAACCAGGGAGGACCTTGTTGACATGTTCATCGTCCATACAATGGAGGAAATCCAAAGCTTAATGGATGCTCATGCCGCATTCAAGGCTACCCTCGGTGAAGCAGACAAGGAATACAATTCCATAGTGGGATTAGTACGTGAAGTCGAATCCATAGTCAAGCAATTCCAAATTCCTGGAGGTCTTGAGAATCCGTACACTACACTTACTGCATTGGTAAGAGTGATTAGACTGATGACAGTAATTTGATTAAAGTTGCTTTTGATTAATCAATTCAATTTTATTTCGTAGGATCTTACTAAGAAGTGGAGCGATGTCAGACAGCTGGTGCCACAACGTGATGGTACATTGGCAGCGGAACTTCGCAAACAGCAAAGTATCCTTTCCGCTGTAGAGCGCTTCCGTTTAGTTTTAGTAAATTCATTGAATGCATCGTATAATCAGTTAGCTTGTGATATGAGCAAATTTTTTATTGTTTATATGTTAATTATTTTATTTTTACGAATCGTTTTTGTAAGCTTAAAAATCCTTGACTCCTGGCACAGACAACGAACTACTCCGCAGGCAATTCGCCGAGAAGGCCAATGCCGTTGGGCCATGGATAGAACGTCAACTGGATGCTGTAACAGCTATTGGTCTTGGACTTCAGGTAAATTTCGAGTAATTTATATGAATTTTAGTTCGAAGGTTTTCATCCCTTCTCTATTTTTAGGGAACTTTGGAGGATCAATTGCACCGATTGAAGGAATATGAACAAGCCGTGTACCAATATAAGGCACATCTTGAAGAATTGGAAAAGATCCACCAGGCTGTACAGGAGGGCATGATCTTTGAGAACCGATATACTCAATACACTATGGAAACCCTGCGTGTTGGCTGGGAACAGCTTCTAACCTCAATTAACCGCAACATTAACGAAGTCGAAAACCAGATTCTTACCAGGGATTCTAAGGTGGGTTATAAAATTTCTAAAATAAGACATCGTTCATTTATAAAAATCCGTTCGAAAGGGAATGCTGCGTTGCGTGAAATACAACTGGTGTTAATTTTTATGAAATATTGAAATTTTATGTTTCACAGGGTATTACGCAGGAACAACTGAACGAATTCCGCAGTAGCTTCAACCACTTCGACAAGAACAGGACGGGCAGATTGGCACCGGATGAATTCAAGTCCTGCCTTGTTTCCCTGGGATACTCTATTGGCAAAGACAGACAGGGTGACATTGACTTCCAGCGTATCCTTGCAATCGTCGATCCCAACAACTCTGGCTACGTTCACTTTGACGCCTTCCTCGACTTCATGACTCGCGAATCCACTGACACCGACACTGCTGAACAAGTTATTGACAGCTTCCGCATCCTTGCCGGAGACAAGGTAAGCTGGAAATTTTCATCACAACGCTGTTAACATTTTCAATATCTATAGAATATTCAAGGCGAGGAATCTAATGCCTATGTCTTATTCACAGCCCTACATCCTACCCGATGAGTTGAGGAGAGAGCTTCCACCAGATCAAGCTGAATATTGTATTCAGCGAATGCCACCTTACAAGGGATCGAATGCCACTCCTGGAGCCCTGGACTATCGTTCGTTCTCCACTGCTCTGTATGGCGAGTCCGACCTATAAGCCAATGCCTCTACACTTCTAGAGATATCTGGGACGCTTCCCATAGTGACCGATACCAGAATCCTCCCAGGCGTCGCCCTGTTGTACTACTCACTATCGTCATTGTAGACGTCGTTAAAAGCAATTAAATGCAACGGAAGGATAACAAATTTATATTAAAAACGATGGTAATATTATAATCGTTGCCGGTCAGTATGGGAACGCTCTTGCTACACGCACAATTGCATTACGACGGCGGCACCTTTAGCGATAGGGGGTGTCGCTATGGAACGAAAATCAGAGAAAAAGAAAGAACATACAGAAAAGTTGTCCCTTCAGGTTCCAACAAGTCATGAGCGCTATGGCTAAATCGTGATATCATTTTAGCGCAAAATAATGCAGTGATGATATTAATCCGCTGATAGTATACCGAGTAGGCTAACCTCCTTTCCAATGTAATGCGAGTGATCAGTGCCGAATAAGTATTGCAAAAAAGTATGATGAGGTTTGTGCTTGAATAAGCATGCCCGTAGAAGCGTGACAATAAGATACATATCTCGTATATATTTTGCGTTACAAGGATAGCACGGGTTGACAAAATGTAACTGATAGTTCCGGTACGTTTGTTACGTCTTAATGTTTTCCTTAAGCAAGCGTGATCGAGTTCGAAACGCATTTTTTTTAAGCAATCTGATTTTCCGGGTAAGGTATGTAGTTTGCGTAGAACTGAGATACGTTTCATCGATCATGGCGATCGACTATGACAAACGTTCCGGAACTGAATACTCTGGAAGGGATTAGGTCGAAAGTGACAAAAGTATGCCAAAAACAGAGTAATTTGCCATATCCAGCTGACGAGAGCATAGACTCGATAGGCTTTTTCAAATTACTTAATAGTAAAAAATATCAAGGAAAAGCATAACCAAATTTAATCTATCGCTACATTTGGCAATAACGGTAGCATTTATACTTTTTCAGATATTTAAAGTCCTTTTGGTATTCAGAAGCCAGAAGTCCATGCTCGCGCGAAAATTCTCAATTGTAAAAAGAAATGTAAAATGAAACCGCCGGCCTCTGAGCAGGGCGACGGATCTCAAGAACCATTAATCCTAAGAAATCGATCTTCTCGCTAAATCCAGAAAACGTAAATTCGAAAATCGAATTATATGCCTATTTTTTTAGAAATGCGGCTCAACGAACTTATAACGAGATAGCCGCCCTGTATTTTGTAAATCCTTTAATGAAGATGCTAAGCAAAGCTAATTATTTATTTATTTGATTTATTAACTATTTATTGTCGTACCGATATTAATTATCGTAGTGAAACGAGACACGTCTTTTCAAAGTATTTATTTTTATAAATATTTTTGAAGCGAACGGCAGTTCTACCGCTGAAATAATAAACACGGCAGAATATGCCGTACATAAAACCTCCGAAAAGGAAGCAGCTGCCATCACTTCTTGTGTCGTGTAGTAGGCGCACGACTTACACCTACAGTCGTACCCACTCTTAAAATTAATTGACATCATAATATCAGTCGTTCATCTGAGTCATCATATTATCGCAAATAAAAAAAAAATGATCGCATATGGAATGCTATTACCTTAATGAATGGCCTGTACGCTAAGTTTTGTTTGGCTTGAAGCTTAATGCTTTATATGAACGGGGTCGTCTCTAATAATAACCTTTCGCATTCTCGCTACTCGATCATCGTTTCTTTTTTTTCCTTCTCATCACGAAAGAGATTTGACTTGTGATAAGCCGCCCGTGCATCTCTAATCACCTCTAATCGTTTTTACTGAACTGGAGAAATCGAGAGTTCGCTCCAATGTAAATTCACGTGCAGCGGTTACCATCTGCGGCGAATTTCGAGAGCGAGGATCGCGGAAACCGGGAAATATTGAGAAACAATGAGAGGGAGAGAGAAAGACAGAGAGAAGGCGCGTGCGTGAGAAAGAATGAGTGAGATGGGTGGGAGGGAGAGAGGGAAAGACAGTGAGCATACACGCACAGATACACCTACACACACAAAGAAATAAGAGACAGATACAATTACTCGACGTACGAGACTAAAAAAATCATATTCACCATAGGACGAATATAGCCCACACGAAAATGCGCATAAGAAATGGATGAAAGGTCTTATATAAAATTTAATATATTTATTCATACCTTATATTTACATTTTACGTATATTGCGAATGTGCTCGCATTCACCCATACGCGCGCGCGCGCAAAACATACACATACACAGACATCCGCACGCATATACATAATTATAATTCGTATAATTTTAATCTAATTAAAATGAATTTTAATTTTAATTTAATTTAAATGTCCCGTCAATCATTCGTCCTGCATCGCATTACACTTATCGACTATTATACTTGTTTTGCCTATTTCATTTCCTTCTATTAGTTTAATAATAAATAATAATGTACAACAAGAAAACTGGAAAAATAAAAAAATCTTTCGAAAAAAACGGTTTCGTTTTTCTAGATTTATACTGGGTTGTCCCCGGAAAATTCGTGCCGATTTTGAAGGAAAATCGAAACGCAGCAAATTTAAATTTTTTATTTCACTTTGTTTGCTTCCACATTCTCAAAGACGTATAAAACTGAGAAAAAGTATCGTATCGTAACCAAACTTTTTTCCAAATATGCCTGAAGTACCATATTTTAGAATACGAATGCATGTCATTTGTTTTCAATCATTCTGATATATTCAAACCTGTCCTTATTTCACCTATCAAAAATCGGCACGAACTTTCCGGTCAACCCAATAGTATCCTAATGTCGATAATTGCATAGTTTAGGGTTTTCGCAAAATCGCAATTGTTACAAAATCTTCATAGATAATCAGAATTTTATCAGGCATGTATTTGATTAATCTACAAGGATCGGGATTTGATTAACAGTAAGGGGGTGGTACGCATGAGCACAACGGCTAGTATCAATGATCATTGATGATTCAGAATGATTTAAAGTCAGCAGATAACCGTGCTGGAGGCAGAACGTTGCCGAGACGTTGAAAGTCATATAATCGGCCAATCCTGTCAATGTGAAAACAGTGTGCACACTGCACACGGGTTGCACACGTTATCAGGAGAAATTTCTGCGCAGTGGCATATTCAAGGCTACTTTTATTTCGTAAAAAATAAACGGGTGATTGTACGAACAGTGTTTTGTGGACATGAATACAGAGCAAATGTTTGCCAAACAGTTGGTAACTTGTTCTGCGCTGATGGCGGAGTTGTCCGCGCGTTATTTTTTCGAAAGTCTCTTAATAAATTAATAGTGAACTATATTTTTTGTAGTGAGGATAGGGAATTGCCGTAAATGGCTTTGATCTGATGGAGCGTCAAGGCAGATCGAAAAGTAATATTTAAGAAACGTCGACCAGGTACGTACTATTCTTCTGTATGTTTAATTTTCCATTCAACTTGTGAAATTTGCGCAGTTCATGTTGACATTGAGAAAAAGTCCATACATAACATGCTTTGTTTCGTCACATCCAACTGTTCAATCGAAAGGAACAGTGTGGCTATGATAAAAACGTCTCGGTCATTTAAAATCTACAAGAAATGGTTTGACGCTTAACTATTGCACAATGTCGATATGCGCTGTAAACATTGTGCCGTACTCTGATGCTTTTGGAAAGCATAATATTGTCGTCAACTCAACTGCCAAAACGAAAAGTCATTCGAGAGGCTGTCTTGTTTATCAAAAAAGCATCAAATATTGTAACCTACTCTGCTTTATTTTGAATCTGGCAATTCCAAAGTTTTTATTTGAACGTATACATTTCCTATATATTGACATTATCTGTTTAGAACGTGACAGGTGAAATATACATAGCATGAATTGCATGGATATTAAATCTTATTAAGGACATTGCACTGACATCGGAGCAATTATGAAAATAAGAAGCTCTTAAGACAGCTTAAGATCCTTTTTAACTAATATGAGTGCATCGGATCGACGCGCTGGGGATCATGTACTGTGGCGTGGACATAAAATGGATGCAACGAGTCCAGCTATTATGGAAAGCTTAGATAGCATGCCATACAGCAATCGAGACGGACTGCTTAATCCCGATGGTGCACCTTCTCCTCAAGACCATCTTTCTCTACATGAATCACCTACTTTACATGATCTTCCTTCAAAATCACCAGTATGGGTGCACCATGAACCGAGGAGTTTTCTTTTAATCGATGGGAAAGAGAACCTTAAGGTTTCCAATGCAGAACAATTTGTTGAAAACTTAAATTGTACAGAGAGGGATTTGAAGGTCAAGGTTGTATCTATATTTGGAAATACGGGGGATGGCAAAAGTCATACATTAAACCAGACGTTCTTCGGAGGACATGAAGTTTTTAGAACTTCAAATGAACAAAACTCATGCACTCTTGGTGTTTGGGCCGCCTTCGATCCAACCCTCAATGTTATTTGTTTGGATACTGAAGGTCTTTTAGGTAGGAAGAATAATATATGCCACATGATGAAAATAATTATATCAATTTTTAAATGACTATGCATATTGTTTGTCCAGGAGTGACTGTACATGAAAATGAACGTACTAGACTTCTGTTAAAAGTTTTAGCTGTTTCTGATATTGTAGTGTATAGAACACGGTCAGAGAGACTACACAGAGATCTTTTTACGTTTTTTGGCGCCGCTTCTCGTGCTTATAGCCATCACTTTCAAACAGCCTTACAAGCAGTTGGCCAAAGAGAAGGTGGTCTCAATTCTTTAAGTGCTCTTGGTCCAAGTGTTATAGTCTTTCATGAGACCAGACATACTAGGCCTCTTAGCAATAGTATGTATATATTACTTATTATTCCAAATTATACATCTCCATATGTTGTTTTCCACAATTCGCACAATATGACTGCTTCATTATAATACAGATTCATCGGAGAGTGCAGAGGATATCCTTCGAACACGTTTTGCTCAGATGCGACTAGAAATTGAAGCATTTAGTTCAATAAAGTACGTTGGAGTTCAAACTTTTAATTCACCAACGAATTACGAACCTGTGCGGAGTGCCATTAAAAATGAATTGAACAATACAACAGTGAGATCTGCTAGGAGACCCCATCTAGTCTACAGTACACTGAAAGTCTTAAACGATAAGTTTTCTGGGGAAATAGAAAATGTCTCAAATATCCTATTCCCTGATCAGTACTTCACCTGCCCAGTCAAGTGCCTAAGTTGCATGTGTAGGTGCCATAACAGTATGGGACATATTCGCGAAGGAAAACCACACAGTAGTGATACTAGGTGAGAACAAATACTTTCTCTTGTATGTTACAAAGTATTTAAATTTCTAAAATCTGATTAACCATGAAATCGAAATAAATATTTGTATTTTATTGTTTCAGATGTCGTTACCAACATCAGTATGAAAATTTAGTGTACATATGTAAGAAATGTCACAACAACGGAAACGAAGTTGTTGTAACTAGCCGGACGCAAACACAAAATGATAATAGTTGGTATGGATTTGCTAAATATGCTTGGTGCGGATATGTGATAGAGTGTCCTCACTGCGGTGAAATATACAGAAGCCGGCAGTATTGGTATGGAAACAAAAATCCAGAGGATGCAGCAGTGCGTACAGAAATTACACACGTGTGGAATATGGTAGATTTAAAATTGTGTACTCCTTGTGATAACTTTTTTTGGAAGTCCACTAGTTAAAAAATTTCTTATTCTTTGTTCTAGACTAATGTCTCAATGGCATCGCAAATCACAGCACAGAGAGTACTCGATGGTGTATCATATATTTCAGAAGCAGTAAGTAATATTTCATTGCAACCAACAAAAGCAGTGTCAGCCTGGGTAGCTGATCAAGTAGCACCCACATATTGGCGTCCAAATCATGAAATAAAACACTGCCACAAATGCCACGCGCTCTTTGGCCCAGCTGATACGAAACATCACTGCCGAGCCTGTGGTGAAGGATTTTGCGCTATGTGTTCCTCTCATACAAAATGTGTACCCTCGAAAAATTGGCATACTCCAGTAAGAGTTTGTGACATATGCTACGCCAAAGATATGAATTGTAATGAAGATCTGAACGACGGCAATGAGGATGTGAGTGTCAGGAAGGTGACCGAACATGTGGTCTCCACATTAAGCGCTGTTGGTACAGTTTTAACATATTCAAAAAGTGAGTAGCTTTCTTGTATCCGTTCTAAATGCAATTTGGAAAAATACATTGCTACTAGAGATGTATGTTTTTGTAGGCCTCGTAAAGGATACCGTACGTCCTACGTACTGGGTACCTGATTCGGAAGTCACCGATTGTTGCGTGTGCAAGCAGAAGTTTTCGGATACTGTGCCTCTGCATCATTGTAGAGATTGCGGTCGCGGAGTGTGCCAAGATTGTTCGCAACATCGTAAACCGGTACCACGACGTGGTTGGGACAAACCGGTTCGCGTGTGCGATTCCTGTATCAAAATCGATTGAGAAAACGCCATGGAATTACGGCAGGTCCATAAGACAATGTGAATTCATTCTACATGTACGTTCTATCTTAAAGTTTAGCAGAATTCTCATAGTGTCGATATCAGTTGCAGTAACAATTTTTCACAAATACCTTCTACAAGATCTTGCAGCCCCCTTAATTCTGGATAATATTTAATGAAATGGAGGTTGCATTATTTACAAATAATTGAATTATTTTCGAAAGGCGCATATCGAGGATTTAAATTTATAGTTTACAAGAACATTGCATCAATCCTTCGTATTTTTGCTTAAAACGAAACAGAGTAAATTTATTTGAAACGCTTTACAAATTTATAAAAAGTCCTCGTGTCCATTAAAGAAAATGTCCTATTCTATTTTCTCTACGATTATAGTCAATATTCAAATTATAATGTTTATGAAAATTTTAATGAAACAAATGTTTCATGAGCTGCGTACGTTGACTTTGAGACTTAGTATTATTGTTAAAATGGAATTATATCCGATGTGCATTTAACTTTTGATTAAGGGAAAAAAATCATATATTGTAGATAGAATAAAGTATAGACTTCAGTAAGTCTCATAGTTATTATTAATATGTTAAATATTGATGGTGTACGCAATTCTTGAATATTTGAATGTAACAGTGAAGTTGCGTACGCATTTAGAAAAAACCAAGTGTAAAGTATATAAAGAATGAGCAATGTTTAGCAGGATTGCCGTCGGCGTAAATAAGATGATAGTGTGTACGGCCATTCTGCATCAACACAGTATAATTAAATATAGACATAAGTTTAGTTTTAACGACGACGATTGATCTATTTACAAATATAAAGATTCGTGAGAATGATTCCTGGCTGTGACATGTTAGATACTGTAAACAGCATTTATCGACAATGCTCAATGATGGGCGGAAAAATCCCTATCTGATTTTAGGTATGGAAACTGAGTACTGATGCTAATTGCATTCCACGGACGATTTACTCTCTTGCTGTTCAAAATTTCGATATGAATAAATGGGCAATTATTAAATTAGAACAGACTGCTGTTATTGCAAATCCTTAATTTCCCTAAATTCATTTTCTTTTCCTGGGTATGTCAATTGTATGATTTCTTCATTTTATATCATTTTGTAATTTCACCAAGGAGATGCTAATAACAAAGGCCAATCTCGTGGGACTTTGTGTCTGACAGTGTGTGTGTGATGAAATATCACACAGCTTATTTTAGACATAGAATACATGGGGTTACCTTTCTTTACTAATATTTCCTATGTGATGGTTGGATTTTGTCGTTGAATTTCGTTTTTTCCCGGGCTTAGTGCGAGATATCATATAATGCGAGGGTGCACGAGATATGCGAGGTATCGTTTTGCGAGAAAGACGAGATTGTGACGTATCTCGGTCACGTTGTGACGTCAGAACATGGCGTTACGATCAGCTGGGTGTTGTGTAGAGAGTGCTTGAGATGCCCGTCTTTAGAAAATCCGCTAAGGACACCGTCTGTGTGCTCGAATACGTAAGTTTTTTTGAAAACTCTTGCCAATCTCATATTTTCGGTGCTCCCGTGATTGTTTTGCAACGATAAAACAAGAAAGACGTAAATCGGGTGTTGAAAACTGAAAGACGCAAAACGATGGTTCATGTGTTCGAACGTTCTACTTGGGTTTTCACTATGAATACTCATTCTGGTGTGATTCCTGGCGAAAAATTATTCGGAAAACTGATAGTCTTCGCTGGAGGCATGTGAAACATTGTATTCGGACTGCTCTCATTAAAACGTACAGCCGTGCAAACTGTCGGAAATACAGAAAATATGGTTACCAGGTGGGATTTCATGAAAATCCGTCTGCTAGAATGCGTTTTTCTATGGATTATTTATTTCTCTGGACGAATTTCACAGTGTAACTCGATCGAACACCATGTTGATGCTATGTGCAAGTGATGCCGTGGCCATTTTCATGCATGCTCGAGTTTCGTAATCATTATCAGCTCCATATTTGAATTCAACAAGTAATGCAGTCATATGTGCTGGTATTCCGCAATTTCGTAGACCTAGAAGCACGTCGTGTTGTTATAAATTCATCGACTCGCTAGTTCTTCTAGCGTAATTATTCTGTGATCGTTTAAAAATAAAATCGTCATACTCAAAGTAAAACTGTTTTCACGAGTATGTCTTGTATGGGCTAAGTAAGAAAAGTTAAAAGTTCCACGCATCTTTGATGAATCGGTAAATCGTGTAGAAAGTTGACGTTATTGGTTGCTTAATCAATAGAACATGTGACATAAAGTTTTGTAGTATTTTGAGTAACTTTTGCTCTTTAAAAAGTGTTTTGCTTGACGCTCATGTACAACACGTCGATGTACTCATGCAAGCAGACGCCATCTTTCGTGCTACTTCAGGCATAAATAGTTTATCCGAGTTGCTGAAACATTGAAATACTTTACAAAGAGCTCGTCAAGTGTCACTCGCCAATACGATCGTCATTATATACCTGAAAGATTCTTTATTTCTCGTCTCATTTTTCGTCGTCGAACTCATCACTGCAAATAATGTCGGCCATTTTGTCGCTCATTAGTGGATAAACAAATGACGGTGCTGGCACTTTGGGCTCGAGGCTGCGATCGCACGCGCGCAATATTTAGAATCTCATGAAATTTCGATATGTGACACCGATGTAATTATAAGATCAAGAACTTTACCAAGGCAATGATTATGCGTATATATTTGTAAAATATCTTTCTTCAATATTTCCAAATATGTTCTAATTCGCCAATGCATAATTTAATTTGCGAGTTCTCTTTTTTCATGTGTCAAAGGGTATTGCTTGTGAAGTAGTAGGTACTGAATGACTAATAAAATTATGTTACCTAAAGAGGGTCTCAATCTATTATCATTCGACCAATCGTATTGTGTTTTCCATTTTTATAGAATTTCTTTAATATTAGTTTGCCTGCATTAGCGGACAAAGGTGGACTAATAAATAAATATTTTTAAATAGTTAAATGTTGAACTATTGAGATCAGCTCAGTATGTGAAATAGATTTAAGAATAGGGATACCGGTGTTGCTAAGGTAACAGGGAGACCGTTACCTAGCAACAGCTTCTCTGTTTTATGGCCAAGAAAGCTATCGATGGTGCCTACATCCTGCGCCGCATATTACGTCTTTTCTCCATAGAGTTAATACAGATAGAGCAAACAAGCCATAGGCTGCTCTGCAAGTGGAAGTGTCCATTCGCTCATAATGAGAAAGAAAGAGATAGCTGAACCCCATTAGCTATCCGTCTTTGCACTCTGATTTGCATCTATCTCTCTCTTCGCCGCTGCCGCGTTGAGAGCTGGCTTGTCTGCTCTATCTGTATTAACTCTATGCTTTTCTCTGCAAATCCTTTTCCGCGCTATAGAACTTGCAGTTTCACCGACATTCTATTATTCTTCTATACATTATTCTTCATTGATTTTTGTTTATTGTCTCGGTTAAGGTTACGCGTGACAATAATAAGCATACGTGTAATAATCAAAATTTGGAATAATAGATTTATGGTAAACGGGTCGCCATGACAACCAGTGACATCTATGAACTTCGTCTCTTTCATTCGACAACCTCCTTTTCACGTTCAGAAGGCTATTTTTAACGACACAGCTTTTTCTATGGTTCCGTAAAATTAGACTCCGACTTCCCTTAAATTAGACTTTCGCTGGGTGATCGAAACGAGATAATATCTCGGAGAAATATCACGTACAGACCGACGCGACCCACCTCATCCGTTATAAGCATTGTTGTAATTTGATATCTGTGACTTTGGATAATGCGACCATTTGAGTCTGGGAATTAATTCGATGAAAGTGCGTTGCGGCAAACACGCGACATATATGTAGATGCGATACGTACGCATATGAATATGTGTGCGTATCGACTGAGTCGCGTGCTGTTCTTTTTTACCGACAATACAAACTGGTTTCAACAGTAACTAAAGCCCCGTTTACACAGTGCAATTCCTTGCGCAATGAGTTGCGCAAGACGCGTGCAAGCAAATTTGCACCAAATGAATTTGTTATTCAAATTAGTAGTTGGGCACGTACGTCGTCACGTCGAAGACTATATATGAATAACCAGGGTTCGAGCCAAACTTCTATTGTCCCTTGAGAATGTCAACAAGATGTTTTAATTACGATGCACTGTTCACCTTTCAATAAAATCTCTGGAGATGACTAGAAACACCAAATTTTTCGTTATTAAACCATAAAAATCTATTCAAATTATTTACGTTTTATGAAACAATTTTATTTATATTTTCTAGGCTCTTAAATTATGACTAAAGTCGACAGAAATTATATGGCTCTAACTGTTTTGTTCTTTGTGCCTCCTTGCTCATACCTAAGCGAAATTATATGACTCAAGTTATCGTTTTAACGAGTCAATTCTCAGATAGTCAATAGATAAACCGTATAATGTAGTTTGTTTCAAGCCTGGCAAGCCACGTTATGGGCTTTACTTTGGTATCTTCAATCGTTCGAGTTTGAAACGAAAAATTTCATTCTCTAAATTTTTGGGGCGTCGAGTTTGAAACGAAAAATTTCATTCGCTAAATTTTTGGGGCGTCGAGTTTAAAACGAAAAATTTCATTCGCTAAATTTTGGGGCGTCGAGTTTAAAATGAAAAAATTTCATTCGCTAAACTTTTGGGGCGTCGAGTTCGAAACGAAAAATTTTAACCGTAATACTTTTGGGACTCACCCCCACCCCTACTTAACCACGCCCCCAGGTCTCGCTATAACGGATCTATTACTACTAATATTTTATAAATGGCTAGCTACTGAAGATTGTAACCAGAAACTTGGTCTCTATGTAAAAGTTAAAATTGCTCTTGGTAGTGTGTTGAAGAAAATTTAATGAATGGAATCTTTGAATTATTTCGCTTGAAGTTAACAATTTAAAAAAAATATTTCCAATAATTAATTTTGAAATTTCATTGAAGATGAAGATATTCCCATTAATTATTTGCTACTATTTTATCCCAGCATTATTCAGCGTTATATACATTGAGTTTTCAATGCTATATAAAATTTATGAATGCCTTCTCGTGCATCATTAATTTAGAACTAATTGTATCGTGCGTTTGTTTTGTTCAGTGACCAAGATATCCTCGAAGGCGAAATGTCTCCGGACAGACCTGACGCAACAGGCATGGAAACTGCTGTTGGTTTGACGATTACACGGGTACTGAGCTTCCGCGAGGCAGTCTATACATTAAAGGAAGGGGACAATGCAAGTACGTTCGTTGAAACGAGCTCATCTGATGAACTTAACAAAGAAATTGATATAAGTGAAAAGTCTATTGAAAAGAATAGTCAGTCTGACGATGACTTAACTTCCTTAAGCTGGCTGCACCAGCAAAATTTACTCAAGGGATTAGAAATTTCAGATCCCTCTAAGAATATTAAAAGTGAGAATATCTTAAACAACAATATTTGCGAAGACAGTGCAGACTTATCAGAAAACACAAATTCAATTTCAAGTCTAGACGACAGCTACTCCCCAGGTATGAAAAAGAAATATTTTTGAATTGTTTTGGTCGTTAGTGTATTAAGCTAATATAATAATTTTGTGTTTCAGAGAGCAATGGCAAGACAAGTAGTTCTGGTGCTATGCATATTCAAGGCCAAAACTTCCAAAACTCTAGTAAGAATTATCAGAAGTCGGTGCAAATTTTCCAGGAATCTGTCAAAAGTCATTACAATTCGGTGCAAAATAATCAGACAAAGATATCTTTGAGTAACAATAATCTTCCACCTTCAAATCGTAATAAGCACCCTACCCACATACCATACGATCCTCATTTGCATAGAAATAGCAAACCACCGTACTCATTTTCCTGTCTGATCTTCATGGCGATTGAGGACAGCCCAGTGAAAGCGTTACCCGTGAAGGAAGTCTATGCATGGATTCTTGATCACTTTCCGTACTTTAGGAATGCACCGACTGGCTGGAAGAATTCTGTAAGACACAACCTCAGCCTCAACAAATGCTTTCGAAAGGTGGAGAAAGCCCCGGTAGATTGAAATTTTAACCAGTTACTTACAGAAATCAGAAGTCCCAGAAATATTTTCAAGAGTTATATTGATATTAATTTTTCAGAATTTAGGCAAGGGTTCATTATGGATGGTGGATGCGCAGTATCGACCAAATCTCATTCAAGCTCTATCTCGTGCGCCATTTCCTCCTCCGACTGCTCAAAATCTTTCCTCACCGGAAAAAAACCCCAGAAAGTGCGCGAGTACACGCCTTCCTGATCCAGTTCTTTTTCCATATCTTTCAAAGAGATTGGCTTCTAGTAACATTGGAGACAGCCCCGAGGCAGAAGTCGACAGTGACGTTGATGCCGCGGCGGCTGCTATGCTTTCCTTTAAACATGGACCTATTATTTTAAATCACAATAAAGGTATGAAATACCACTATTATTGTATGCATGATATACGGCATCCTTTACTACGTCTAGAAATTATAATAACAGATCGCAAGAGAAAGCTGGTAGAATCGGAAAAGCTAGTTCCGGTAATCACGAGGAGCTCCAGCGAAGACCACACGTACAGTTGCATTACCTCTATAAAACTGGAAAGGTATGGTACAGACTATGGAGTCTTTTCTCATTTCCTTTACTTCGGTCTCGCGCGGAAAGTGCTTATTAAATAGTCATTGTGATTTCCAGTAAGAGGTGTTCAAATGTTGACGGTACGGGAGCGGATTTCGACGAGCAGAGAAAAATAGCTGAGGGTGCTGATGCTCTTCTCAATCTGGCAGGTGTTAATACACTAAGCCATGCTCGAATTCATCCAGGACATGGAACTGGAGGAGTCTCGAAGGTAGATGAAATGCCGAAAATAAAATCAAGACGCCCAACACCTAGCAACGACTACTCCTCGACGTCGAATGGTCCCGATAAGAGGCGTAGACGCTGGCGGGAATGGGGTGAGGGCAACCGATATCTCAAACAGGTTAGGGGGTAATAGAGAATGTCGTCGATCGTCGTGGAAAGATGTAGAATATGATCGCGTACTAGCGCTGTTCTATCAGAGACACGATGGAGAGTGTCTGCAATCGTGTGTTCCCGCGGCGTACTCAAATTCGAATTCGAATCATCTTAAGGAATCTGCGAAGATTGCTGTCGAGAGATAATGTACAGAGTACTGGAAACCGTAAAGGGTTAATAGGACAAGAAGGGGTAGGGGCAAGTAGGTAGGGGCAAGCTATAAGATGTTTTTGCGCCTGGTGCAATTATATTTTTTGCTATGTGATGAAGGATTTTCATATGCGTTTTATGGCCTTTAAAGGCTGAGGACGATCGCGTTGTGAACGTGAAAAAAAATATCAAGAAAGACCCGGATTACGGATACTCTGCACGTTGTGGGGTTTATCAGTGTTATCCCAAGAGAAGGTCTATACGTGAAGGACGAGTTTAATATCGCAAAATCGCATTACGATGGTAATCTCGATCAAGCGCGTCTCTTCGTGGGTATACGCGTTTGCTCAGGGTTCGAAACTCGCTAAATGCCAAAATGAATTCAGTAGCACTAAACTTCAAGCAATAATAGAAAGGTAATGATAATGGATTATCTTCTAAGTATGTAATTGAGAAAAGAGGAAGAAAGCAAATAGTTTAATGCGAGTGAAGGGAAATACTATCGCGTACTATACCGAGTTACGGTAAACTTTTTAGAACTGTTGTGAGCGATTATACATATTAATTGATAGAGAGTTTAATTAAGGATAATAGAGAAGGTCTATATTAGGTTTCTTTCTGTAGATATGTATAGAGATACAATTGATTATAATGCGATAGAGAAATTGATAATATATTTGAAAAGAAAAATATATATATATATATTATATGAATATAAGTACAGGCATCCATACACACACGTACATGTGTACATTTATGCGTACATGTACACATGGGTCACACATACACGACCGTACACGTGACTTTAGGATGCTTCAGAATGTGTCGGCGGCAACGAACAAACGACACGTTCCGGAATGATTATCGTGAATCGTAAATTCATGAAAAGAAAACGTCTATCATTTCTCGCCTTTTTCTACTCTATTCGTGGCTTTTAAGATGATTTTGAATTGTGCTGTACATACGTTGACCCTATGATGCAAGCATAGGTCGGTTTTTCAGTGCCTTCTGGGTACGGTGTTCTTTTTATCTAGGTCGTTATTATCTTACAGACAGGTACTTAGTACAGAATCGAAATGTCAGCTTATTTTTATAGAAAAATCATCAATAACAAGCGATACCATCTTGAGAATATGTTGCATAACAAAGTGAACAATATGACGAACTAGATTGAAATAACGAGAAAACCGGCCTCATGTGAATACGTGTGTAGTAGTTCTATATAGAGAGAAGGTATATTTTTACAGGGCGCTCTGCCCGCGTGATAAAAGCTCTTCCTAACAATTCGCTGATACACAGTTCATTAGCTTATACCGTTTACAAATTATTGACGTAGCGAATACAGCAACACTACGAAAATACGTGTATGGTAGCGCACCTCGAACAATGCCGCTCGCACGAAAACGTTTAATTGTGTAGCTCAAAGATGTACTTTTACAGGACATTATTCTTTTACACCGACTTACTAACATTCATTACACAGACAATACTGGACATACTGTTATTCTTTATTTTTGCACTCTTTTCATTCAGAAGAAACGCAGATTAACATTCATACGCAAATAGAATTTGAAATTTGATTTATTACGAGTGTTCGACTCAACTCAATCTCTGATGATAAAGGAATAGTATTAAGTCGCATGAGTTAACGGCATGAATAAAATAACGTGCCTAACTTTTTTTTTTCCTGTGGAAATGTGTAAGACTCAACACACAGTTTTGGAATCTAATGGGTTTATTACGATTAATGAAATAATGACATGTATAAAATTAATTATTTATTCATTACTCTACTCGATACGATGGAAAATAATCGAACGGACCTTGACAGGGCGCGCTGCCAAAACTTTTTTATGTGATTGTAGCTAGTCTACCGCGTAGGGAGGTCTAGGCCGAGAGTGCAGAGAAGAATGCCATATATCTATACAAGCGAGCAACGAGGTTTAGATATGTCTGATGATATTGCAATAATCCTTTTGAAAGGACTGTAATAGTAGTTTATAAATTTATATTGGTTTTCTAAAAAATTATTGGTACATGGTGGATATTCACCAAAGAATTTTATTTCAAACTTCCCTACATTCGAGCATAATGTATTTGCTTGCATTATCTGTGATACTGTTATAAAAATTATTATACCATTGCTATTGTTGTATCATTATGATGTAATGGTCATAACATTTTATAAATTCTCATTTAAAATTGTTTTTATATCAAATTGATTTTAACATATTGCCTGATTTGTTCAATGTTGTTTGGCATTCTTATCCTCTCCGTACTCTTTTGGTCCAGACGAAAATTACATGCACCCTAGAATTAATTGATAAAAATGAAATAATATAATTTAACAATTCATTAAAATTTTAAGACTAGCTTCCGTTTGCTACGACTGAAGGTCTGCTCTTCCATGTAGCTTATTCTAAAGTAATTGATTAGGAGGCTAAAAGCCTATTATCATCACAATAGGGGTAGCTGATCATTAAGTTAACGCTAAATTACTTGATTAGCAACATAACGTAAAGCAATATACCAGTAAGACCTGATATCGGATGAAATACTCTAGTCAGCCGGTTTTCATAGTTTGTATGTTCGCTCATAAATCTCTTCCAAAGCTTCGCAGTAATGACCTTTCCATGGATAATCCATGAACTCTTATACGCAATACAAACTAGACCTTTTTTATAATAACATAATGAGTTATGTACATAAATTTTTGTATTAGCACAAAATTTTTCTGTTGTCATCGAATGAGAGAACCGGCTGGCGCGCAAGAAAATTTATTATGCAAACATGTACTATGAACGGACATAATAATATAAGACGACAATTTAAGAGATACACCTAGCCACGGACAATCAAAATGCGACACTGTTTGATTTGGTTCTGTTGTATGACGTCGTGCCAAACCCAGGATTCTTTTATTTTGGAAAAATGAGAATCTACCGCTATAATTTATAGTACATCTATATTGTATAATATAAGAATTTTGTTGGCGTAATATGTAATATTGATTATTATTATATTATATTATTATTAATTTTAAAAGAATCAATGTAAAATGTTTGTTAAGTTTTTGGCCTTGCTTATACAATTTAAGTGTAATATTTTAGGGTGTAATCACGACCGAACTTTACCTAATGAATTCGAGAAAAAGCAGTTATTGAACATTTTATTCTTCCTCCTAGATATTGTTCAGTATTAAAATGTTCACGGTTTTCTTCTGAACATTCAAGGTAAAAGGCATAAGTCACATCAACTTCACTCTATACAATAAAACTCCTGCAACTCATCTCCTTGCTGCAAAAAAAAAAAACATGTAAACATGAAGATTCCACTGATATGAAGATTAAGAGCATACTGTAAACAACTGCTATTAGAAAGATGTAAATACATAATCTCAGAACAGCAGAGAAACAAAAGCACAAGTAATTCAAACGAGGTGTGAGCAGAAGTGGTGCGCTCCAATTATTTGGTTGGCGAGCGACCCAAAATTTCGTGATGTCACTGACGGACACATTTAATATTTCCGAATTGTAACACATATGTACGAACCGACATTTTAATTCGAAAAGTTGAACCGATGGAGGGACAGACTATTGACTGTTGTATGAATTTAGATGTCAAATTGGTTATCCACTGACTGTGCGTAAGCGCGTCTCTTTGTACTACCAATAGCCAATGACCGCACGTATTCCGATGCAGTATACGAGAATAACGTAGAGAGGGTGTCACGTGGAGATCGGTGACGTCAGGAAGAAGCTAGCCGACCTGCGCGAGAACTGATTTGAGCACACTACGAGCACACCTCGCTACTTCACGTCCCTCCCACCATACTCGAAAACCCGTCGGTCTGCATTCCACAGTATTCTGGTGGACGCCAAGCATCGTGTTTCGTATAAGTTTGATGTTCGAACGGATTGAACAAAATGAAGTGATTTGTTGGTGTTGAGCCTTGTAGACGTAAAGTACGTCGTGGTTCCTATGCGAAAAGGACCCTATAAGCGTGGAAAACGATCTAGCTGAAAGACAGGCGAGCCGGACGCGTAAAGGGTGAGTCTGTACGATGAGTTTGAAGCCGGAGCGTTTCTTCCTTCCCTTTGGGGATTGTTCTTTACGTTATTATGCGTACTTAATGACTCGTATTTTTTAAAGACACTAGCTATCAATCATTTAGATGTTTTGTGGAGAGCATCTCCGCAAAGATCATCCGTCGAAAATTTCGAGTGCGTTTCGGAAGATGTATACTTTCGGTGTGCAGGGAATTTTCATTCACCTGTTTCGGAAGTCGGCCGGCCTGCTTCGTCCTGCGACCGGACACGATCCCGAGATTTTTACATGGCAGGCATTGACTCGCGGAATGCAGTTCTCGTTAATTTTTGTATCGCGCGTCTCGATGAGAATACAATTATTTGCGAAAAACCGCGCGTCTTAATGCGCCTGCGTGTTCGTATATAAAACAGTCCTTATAGTACGGCACACTTCCTCGTTTATTTATTCGACACCGGCCGTATTCATCATTAGGACGCGCGAGAATGTCGCACGTTACTGTTTCTCTCTTGCGCAAATCATAACTCTTTCGAGACCCTTGTAGATTAGGACGTTTATTGACGTAATATATACATATACACTGCGGCTTAAGACTAATTCAAAAGCATGCAATACGATAAAATTGGAAGAATAGGCAATAGAGTAAAAGGCTTATGTACTTCCTAGAATAATCACAACTTCGAGACATAGGGATAATAAAGTAATGGGATTTAAATAAATTGGTTTTTAACATACATAAGAGAAAAAAGATGGGGAAGAAATTATATTTCATGATTAAGAATATAAACGCATGTCACGTACTTTTCTGAACGAATGAATTTATTAAATCTTTAGTAACTCGTATTTACGAGAACTGCATATTTTTCATGCTAGTCACACCAAGGAAGCGGCAAAGGTTGATGAATTATGAACGGTGGCTATGGAACCACTGAGGGTTACATTAGAGCGGAAAAGGGCAGGTACTAGACTAGGGACGGTAGCCATGCAATGCAACACCTGACTTCCCCTTCTTACAGCAAAAAAAGCGAAACCAATGCTCATGAAATGAAACCATCCGGCTACGGATCCACCTGTTACTCCGTTGTTCCATTGATTCGATGGCTTCAAGCCGTATCAAGTGCACCTGAGCCTTTGACAAAGTATCTTTTTTCTTCGAAAAATATTATTAAAGACAGAAAAGCAGGGACGCGTTAATTTTTCTAAAGATAACTCCTGAAATTGTCATTATCCTGCATCTTTCTCTCTCTTTCAGCACTGGTCCATTAATATCAAAATAATCAATGAATCAGTGGATGGCATATCTAAGATTATGCAAAATCTTTTCAAAGGGGTCAGAAGATGATTCTGCGTACAGTCACGATAGAAAGTACATTTTGGCTCAACCAAATGTACTCGAAATGACTATACTGTCTAGAGTATACCTATAAAAGGTCAATGATTTAAATTAGAAAGGCCAATCTAAGCCATCAGACACATAATACACAATCCCCCTTGTTTTTTAGACGTGCCGCAGCGACCCATCGCTGTAGAAGGGCGAAATTAAAAATCGATACTTCGAAGCGGCCTGAAACTTTTTACAAGGACGCAACTTGAATGAAGAAAGAAAAAAAATAGATGTTCCATTACCAATTACCTCGGTACTTAATGGGCGCGACTCACGGAGCTATAGTATATTCAGGAGTAGTTAATATTCTCCGAATCACTCTGAAAATATTTGAAGAAGAATATGAAACTTCATTATCAGTTGTATTTCTGGGGGATTAGTTTCACGAGGTTTTAATTGCTCACGCATACGATTCTCGATAGTGGAACAAGTTTTGCCACTAAAATCAACATGGCTGGACGTCCCGTAGAGACGACACTTGAAATTATCCTATCCGAAAGAACGCAACGAGAGGACCCATGTCCCCCTCATCTTATTGCTTCATCACCCCCCCCCCCCCCCCCCCCCCCCCGCCCCC